AGGCCGCTCCGTGGACCGCCGTCGGCACGAGCGCCGGCCGTGTTTTATTACTTCGATTATAGTCGATGTGTTTGTTTGATTGTTTCTCTAAAACATTATTAACGAGCGACCTTTTGATGTGGCTCGTATTAAAAGTACCAACTGTTCATTCGAACCGAGAGTAAACTCTGTTTAATATATTTTATTAGAGACGGTTCTCTTTATTATTATTTGTGTCGTAAATCTCTGAATGTTATTTATTTATACTTTCCCGTTACAAACTTGATTGTGATGTCAGATGTAACTGTTCCAGATGTACTTCTGATTGAATCATTAACGTGATCATTTATTACTAGAGCTGTCCTCGTTCATCGCTGACATTCATTTTTCCGGTCGACTTTCGTGGATTATTCAAGTGGAGAAGCCATCAGTAGAGTGGGGACCGGGGAGGGGAGAGAGTCTTCACAACTTAAATTAGATTCAAATAATATTAAAATTATAACGACAATAGACTCGATCACACTGAATGGCTAACGAAGATTTTAATTTAAAATTAAAATTATTGCTCGTAAATTGTGCCAAAATTATTATAAACTTTTGCGTATTTAATACTCATAGTAATCAGTGCCAAACCAATAAAAGTCAATTAATTTTCTTAAACTATTATATATTATTATTATATTTCAGTTTGTAGAGTCGATAGCCAATAATGCTAAAGTTATTTTCTCAGTAATGTCATCAGTAGTTGAAGGCTTTCTACATTTAAGGCCGTCAGATTTCCCTCGCGGCCGGCGCCCGATGATAGCTGATGAGTTATTTTAACAACACTCCATTTACTATCAATATAACTTTCACGGATGAGTTCTTACATCGCTGTGGGCCCGTAGTCTATACGTCGCCCTTCAACACTTTCTATGATTTAGTTACCATCGTTGATTCATTCGTTACAGTTCATAAAGTTTGAGTTTGAAATGTGTAATACGAGTATAGGAAGGCATCTTAATTGGCGACGGAAATGTAAGGATTGTGATGACTTTATATGAGATAGGACAGGACAGACGGAGCAAGTGAAGATGGCGGAGTGTGTCGACTGAACAATAAAGTTTCTGAGAAATCAACTCCTACGTAAGAAGTTTTAATTATACGACGAATAGATGACGGGCGGCAACCTTAATACAAAGACATTGAGAGCAATTACTGGTTCGGAATCTTCTTATTAACGAATAAGAAATATTATTATTGAAAATATCGACTGTATGAAGACAAACATATGTTAAAGAAGATTTGATTGTTATCGTAATTAGGAAAGTAGATAAAAATGATTTAAAGTTTTAGTGAGAGCCGTAACAAAGGAGCCATAAATCATGTGGTAGTTGTAAAACACGTGAAGTTAGTAATCTGAGTTTATCCTCAGCACAGCATACTGGACTATTTACAAAGATAAACGATCTCTTGGCAAATATTTCGAGCAGAGAGACCGCGGACACAACGCGAGAATACACTTTATGTTTGTGGAGTAAGGTATACAATGCAGTGTACTGAGAGCGGGCGCGCGGAGATACAGCGGTTATCAGTAACGATGAAAGTGAACATCAAAAGTGGATCGTAAACCGTGATCGAGTTCGTGTTTTACAGACGCTCTTATAGAGGAGGCCCGGACCGGCGGCCGACCAGTCATTAGACGTTAAATGAATTAATACTAACGAGCCGGAAACAATCAGGCGGATGATTTAATGTACTTACACTGATGACGGTGAGAGACGCGGGCTTGTTTAGATATTTGTCTAATATGTGGGACAGTCTTTTGTTTGTATCGAGTATGTATGTATGTAACTGTTAATGTTTAACATCGCTAGCTGTGTGTTCTCTCGTCCGCCGTCAACGCGTCGCTTTCACTCCACCTTGAGGGACGGAGGACTGGTTGCGTATCGACTGATTTAAATGTTGCACAATCGAAGACATTCCTTCGATACATACAAACGAGAATAGCAAACAATAAAATACAATAATACTTGGCTCCGGCTCAGTTATATCATAAAGATACATAATATGTGCGTCGACTGATCCCTTCAAACTTTTATTAACCAATCATCGTTTTTCTCAAGATGTCGTTTTATTCGATAGCATCCATTTTTCTTTAAGAGCGACTTTCGAAAGTATTTTATCGTTTAAACTTGTAATTGGATTATATTTCGCTCATTTTATTTGTTCTGTTTATTGTTGTGACGATGTTTAATTAAAATTCACGAACAGAAACTCATTTTAATAAATCTCTTTATTTAAAGACACTTTTAGATTGTTTATAGATCGTGCCCCACAGTTGAAATATATTTATGTTCTCCGAGCCTGCATCGGCACAGTTATCTTTACCTAATTTCCTCAGTCATTAGTCACACAGGACGCACCATGTACATGTACCTGGCCGCTGTTACATTCACATTATTTGTGTATTCAACGTAACCAGAAGCATCAAAGGAACTAGCACACTAGTATTTATTCGACCTGACCGGACACAAACTGAACGACTTTATCTTTGAGGTTTCACAGACAGCCGCTATTCGCTAAACACGGAACTGAACATATTTAACACAACTGTTCTTTAATGTCTTCATCCTCATACAAAAGAACAAACAAATGTTGTATGATTACATTCTACGACGTGTACAAGAAGACAGAGAAGTTGTAAAGGAGATCGGTAGTGTTCCGATGTAGAACACAGCCAAATACTAAACATCTTTATAGAGTAGTATCAAGGACAGAGCTCGTTCTCTGTCGAAGCGGTCATTGTCAACACTAGGAAGAGACAAAAGTGAGAGCGGAGCAAATGGCACGAGACGACTCACATACACACAGGGACCGGCTTACAACCTGCAATAAATAATAAGATCGGACGACTGTACACAATACTAATAATGTATTGAGACTTTGTATGGTCACACCGTACATCAAGTGGAAGTGTTTGTTAATATTCCGTGACGCTGTTTACCAGAACATTACATGCTATGTGTGTCGTTGTATCTGAAGGCGGTATTTCTGTTAATCTACGTAACTGCCATTCGCCTTTTACAGTGTACTGCGAGCGCGCAAACAACATATTAAGAATGACGCCAGCTACGTGCACACACACGAACACACACGTACACACACACACACGCCATACGAGAGTGCATAAAATTCAGCTAAACTGTTTACGGTCAGAGTAAATCAGGGATCGACTGGAGATGATCTCGTTACAGATTTGGCACAAACATTGATGAGCCCTCAGATATGTGGCTTATATAAGATGTTCCGTATACATAAACGATTGATACGATCAAAACAATTCCTCGCTACCTCTTATTTGGATGCGGAATTTAATATAATGAGGCTTGACCCAAAAAAAATATACGAATATCTAGAGAGATCAATGAACCCGTGTAAATACTGTTACAACGTCCGCTGACAAATAACATTAAATATATTAATGAGAGGCTGTGTAAAGTATTCATGAGCGAGGGTCGACAGACGTTCAGGACAGGCCCGGGAGCGGTCGAGAGAGTATATGAGTGAGGTGGAAGGACGTGTGGCGAGAACAGAGAATAAATAGATGAACGGGACTTTATGGAGTTATGATTATAGAACTGGTTTTATTTGTGTCACGCCAGGAAATATAAAATAAAACATAGAATAGCAGTTTATTATTGCGTGGGGCGGACTGCCAAAAACTTGTACGAATGATCGAATTCAATCGACTGGAACAGAGACAGAGACGGAGCAGTTTGAACGCACATTAATATATAAAGTAGAGAAATATTTAATAAAACATTTACACCAACTAATATATTAGATAATAAAATGTCGTTCTAAAATTTTTGACCGAAATAAATGGTTCTATTCTCAATGTAGCAGGTGAAGGTCGCGGCTTGGTGTTCAAGTTCGTCTGTTCCTCGGCCCGCAGCATCTGATACACTTTAGACGAACTAATCTTTCACGAATAAGAAAATCATCGCCTTCAGCTTGAAGCTATGTTATAAACTCTCAATTTAAGAACTGTTCTTACGCTAAGAGAGAGATAAGGTTAAGGTGTTTGAAATAAGCACACTTTTTAAATAAAAGTAGCTATGTTTAAATGTATTGTGTTGTATACATCTACTCGTAGTGTCTCTGTGAACACGACTGTTTCGAGTTACAATATTTATACTGAGTCTTTAATAAAATCTATACTCAAAACCTTTTATTAAAGACTTATTTATAACTTTGACCATTTTCTGTGATCACTAATTTAGCAAAACATACTTATATGGTTATCTCTTAATTATTGCCTTTTTGGTTTCATTGCTTTATCCAAACATTATTATATACAAATACAGAAGCATGTTTATAAAAAAACTATTTATAACTGTTAAAAAATTACATCTTTGGAGTTTGTATTTTATTCTGTAATGTTTTGTATCGGAATAGTAGAAAAATTGACAGCACGTCACTTTCCTCAACTGAATTAGCAACACTTACTAATCAGTATATGAATAAGTCAGACACACAGATCCCTTACAAAACATTCATCATCAGTTCATACATTAATGACTGACAGCTACCTCGTAGTCAGTGGTGGCCTAGTGGTTAAGTGGGAAATTGCCAGGTTTTGGCAGACCCTGGCTAAAGCTGGGAAATTGCCAGGTTTTGGCAGACCCTGGCTAAAGCTGGGAAATTGACACGAAGAAGAAGAAGAAGGAGTTACCTCGTACTCCACGCATGCCATTAAAATGATTCTTGAAAATATGTATTGATTCCAGGATGTAGTGTGTCTGCTGGTACTATGATTTAAAGCCAATTGACCTCAGTTCTAGTTATTAGTACATTTATAGATGAAGTTAAATTTATATCTCTATATACATCACGTTGAATGATGCTAATTGACGGCTCGTGTGATTTAGACATTGGAAAGTTAGCGCTTATTCGAAGAAATATTTAAACTATGCTAATGGATAATGTTTTAAAATTAACAAATCAAGTTGTTTTAAAGTTTTAATAATTAAAACTTATTACTGGTACTTTTTATCATCACTGTCATCATCCCCCCAAACAAAGTACGCACTGAATAATCTCACAGCCCTGTTCAGGAACCAAAAGAACATTAACACTAGTATGATAATGTCCAAGTTATGTCTCTCCATGACGGAGAGGAACAGTGTCGAGGACTGCAGGTGTCCAGCTCCCTCTGAGTCCAGAACTAGTTGTATCAAGTGCAGGACTTCAGATTGAGGAGAAGCTACACGGTTGCGAAATAACAATTTATCTTTGTTCGATTGCTCACGATAACTGAAAACACATTAATATGATGTTTGAAATGGGATGGTTTGAATAAGCATAATATTTTTTTTATTTAAGATTTCTTACCTTGTCATTTTAAGTATTCTATTGATAGCGTCTTTAACCTTCCAGGCAAATTCGTTCGTATAGTCAACTTTAATGCCGCAGCCTCTTCTCACTACGGAGTCCATGTTGATAATGTGATCTTCTAGAAGTGGAATACCAATGACCGGTACTCCAAAGTTGGTCGCATCCACGATTGATACCATCTGACCGTGGTTTATATATGCTATGGTGTTTGTGTGATCTGAATATATTTTTGATTTATTAATATATTATTATCTAATGTGGATTATTTATTATCTAATGGAAATCTTTATGTAACTTACTCAGTATAATATTTTGTGGCGGATTCTTCATCATGTACACGTTCTGTGGTAGGCTCATCTGGATTTCCTCGTTCTTCCATATCACAGTCTGTTGTAATACACCGAATACCTCTATAAGCTCCTGTATAATATGATATGACACCTCCCTGCCTGCGACATGCGATTCTAAGTTTACATAAATAACTCCTGCCTTCGATGCCTCTAATAATTTAACAATATTCTGAAACAATATGAAACATATTAAGTAAGACTTATCATTCGGAATTGTTGTTTAGTTACGAAAAAAAAATCACTGTTTAAAAAGAAATAAATAATAAACACCTTAGGCAATGGAGAAATTTTTCGAACAATATGATGTCCTCCCACAAATTTAGCATTTAAAGGAAGAGGTATATTATGTCCGAGTGGCGGGTGAGAATTAATTAAAAGTGCTGATCCCTGGTAAACTAGTTCTTCATAGTTCGGTAAGACACGCCTCCGGGACTGAAACGCGCTACGGTAACATGCTTCATATTCAGGCAACTCAGTGGAGCTTACGTGAAAGCTGAAATAATCAGAATATATTATAATGAAAAATTACGTCGTGTATATTAATAAAACTCTACCCACTAATTCCGAACACCAAGCGACAGTTTTGACCATAAATATCTTAATCTCTCTGGGAGGGAGTAGCTCGGAGATTGAAGACTGTAAGCCATAAAATCGAGACTACTGTGTCCATGCACGAGGCTGTATGTTTGCCAGGAGATATCTTCAGGAGTATACCAGACTAACGGACAATCGAAGACGGATGCTAGTCTGAAGAAAGAAGCCATTATTTTCCTCTGCGGAACTGATAACTGTCAATATTTCATTATGCTTGTTGCTCACGGAGCCAGTAGTCCAGAGTGATACCACTCCGCGACCACAGCGTCGTAGTGTATGGTGGTATTCATCATCAGCTCCTGGAGGGCGGAGTGTCGGAGCGCTTGACCGGCGTACTGAGACCCCAGCTGCTGAATATTAACTCGCAGTTCTGTAGTACTCGGACCGTGATCGACATTTTGTTCTGTCTCTACAACAACAGGGAACATGTTAGTGATTATAATTAATTGTAAAGAGTTATAAGTCCAGTTTTGATATAATTAAATTTTTGACAATTAACAATTTTTAAGTTTGCATTTTCAACTAACTTATATTTTAATTATTGCCTATTTTACATCCTTTTTTCTTAATAATTATTAAAACTTTTACAAATAAAGTTTATATTCAAAATTTCATGACAAACGACTCAGTATAAATCGTAAGTATCATTGAATAACATAATTACTCTCACTGATAATTTCATGATATTATATAATGATCAATATAAATTCTTTATATTGCATGTGTATCAAAAATATATACAACAAAAAACATATTACCATAATGTTTTCTCAGTGTAAGGTTACCATGGATGTAAACGATTGCTTTTAAACAACCAACTAACCTGTCTCGTGTGTCAAAACCGAGCTAATGTCAATATAATGTAATTTAGACCAATTAATACCCCTCGGGACAGGAGTCACCCAGGTCACCTGAAAGAAACTTATTGTTATTCAAACTCATTTAAGTTTCAGACATTTTTATGGTGACAATCCTTCAGCTTCAGTTATTAAAGAAATTTGTTTGTTCCAATAAAGAATCACAAGAATAGTAGAGATGTTTTCCAATTTAGGTATATTATTTGAATTTCATTAACAATACTTTACAATCACACCTCATGACCGGCCTCCAATAAAATTTTAACTATAGATTCCCCCAGAACACGATGACTCCTCTCCGGTACTGGGAACACTACTAAGATGTTCGAACAGTGACACGCGAACACACAACACAATATTAATAATATTTTTTCCATTTTATATCACTAATGAGTGTACACATTCTCCTAAACAACACACACGGTCCTACAGTAGTGGAATGATGTGTGAGGTGTTCTTATCGAGACGTACATAGTATCTCCTTATCATACATCACGTGTGAACACATCTTAAAAATAAATGTGTCAATATTATGATCTATTACGAGAATAATATTGACACATTTATTTAAGATTAAACATTGTGTTAGTGTTCGTTAGGTTGAGAAGGTCGTTTGGTTTTACAAAAATAGTATAAAAACACATGGTCAAAACATATTCAATTAGTAAATATATTAAAGATTTTTTTTTTTTATGTGAAGCTTGGCAAACGAGCAGACGGCCCACTTGATGGAAGGTGGTCACCGTCGCCCATGGACATCCGCAACATGTTTGTTGCGGATGCGTTGCCAACCTTGTTTTTTAGGGATAGGGAGGGGTGGGAATCAGGAAATGATAGGAAAGGGTAGGAATAGGGAAAGGGCAACCGGCTCTCTCACTCATCAGACGAAACGCAGCCATAAAGACTACTTCACGCCGATGTTCTGTGAGAGGGTGGTACTTCCCCGGTCGAGCCAGCCCATGTTCGAGCTGTAGTAATTGACCACAACTAGGCTCTACCACCTTGAAATATAGTTTAGGAGTACAAAACTTTATTTTATTAATGATCCTATCTTCAAGTATGAAGGTGTCCAGGTCTCCGTGATGACTGTGAGTTTCTCCGTCCAGATAACTCAACTATTACATGTTATAATATTTAAGGAGGTGTTCTACATCAGACTTGTTTACTTTATATGGAGACTTGTTTTATATTTTATAATATGTTTCATATAATTACATTCATGACATCGTCTCTTACACACGAACACATATTTATTTATTTATTTATTGTTTCATTTGGCACTACACTTCACTGTAGGCATTGATACTACAATATTATTATATAAAAATAACTTTATAATTTGAAAAAATTTAGTTAAACTTATACAACATTTTAGTAAACCTGAAAAAAATTCACATTCATTAACAACATTTCCATGATTTTATTTTGTTTACATGTTTTTATTAAATTCTATAAAAGTTTTGATATTATTACTGATATAATTTTAATACCTCACGACCCGATTCAGTCGATCTTCTCGGAGGACAGTTATTTGTGAGAGAAGGTCTCTTAACATTAACAACAATTGGTGACATTCATACAAGTGGAAATAAAAATGTTATCACAACAAAGATGACTTTACTGAAGCTAATAAAACCGATTTAAAATGAACACAAATAGCGGCCGTTAAAAAAAAAATGGTATTTTTCGTACAAAGAATGACAAGGAGTGTTTATAATTTTTGATGGGTCAATAAAACTGTTTCATAAGTCAACAGCGAGCGAGATGTTTCTAAATAAGACTCGTGAATTGAGACTTCAGGATTCAGGTCAACGTTACAGTGTTCAGATACAGCGGGTCAACGACCTCTGTTATAAAAGTTTTCGTCTCTCTTATAATAAGAAACTATAATTAACATTATACAAAGAAACCTTTTCTATACACATGATGAGATTGTTTGACCTCCTCCTAATTGATTCTTTCATCGCCAGTTTATTTTCGTTAAATATTTCGCTATAAATTTTCCGTCCCTTGGAAAAATTACGTTTCTTACGATCATAGTTTTAGAAGATACATATTGTTTGTTACATACTGTAAATATTATTTTATAGAATAGAGAGGAACTAACAATAATATTGGTTGGTTCATAATTATTAATATTATCAAGGTTTGACTGTTTGTAAACCCAATAACATCAACTAGTATTAGATTTTAATATAATTAGAATAATTATTATCCTAATAATTATATAATATAATTATTATATAATTATTAGGATAAAGTGACAGGCTTTGAAAGTAAAGAAATAACTTTTGGGGGTTCGATCCTCTTGATTAAAGATTGATAAGAACCTCACACAGAGTTCAGTTCAGTTCGACCTCTATGAGAGAAAAGAAATCGACAAGCAGAATAAAGCAAGCTGACAATAAGTATACTGTACTACCAAAAAGAAATAACATTAAAAATATAACTCCCGTGTATTAAAAGCTTTGTTGACATGTTATTTAGCGAAAGTATGCGGCTATATACAAAATAATTTTAGCACACGCACCGAAAATATAAATTTATTGAAGATGAGAATAAAAATATTAACTAAACGTGTTTAAAAGTGAGTTATGGCCGACAGCGAGATCCGAAATAAATCTCAAACAAAAAATATAGCAAGCGACGGGAATAGAGACGAAGCGGTTGGCCGAAATGCAGGTCACCGGGGTAACGTGTACCGTGTACCGTGTACTGTGTACGGTGTATTGTGTACAGTTTACTGTGTACTGTGTACTGTTCATGATTTGTGTGATAAGCGATCAGCGGATAAAAAATATGTACTGAAAATTTAATAAAGTTTCTTTTACCATTGTCTGATATTGATGAAGTAAATTAATTAATCAAACACTGGCTTTAATCGTTTTAAGCATGATTTTTTTATATTTTAAGAACGAAATAAGGAGAAACTATAAAAAACTTCATATAGCGGGTACTAGAGGAAAAAGTATGAGGTGTTAGTAGCTCACTTGAGGCTCAGATCCGTTTGTTTGTCACCAGTGGCGGCTGTACCTTAAGTGCACTCGTGCGCTGAACCACCAATTCAAAAGATTTAAAAATTACAAAATATTACTTCATCTTTATTTTTAAATTAACATTTTAATATTTATTTTTTAAAACATATAAAAACGTATAAAAAATTAAATTTCCTAATTATGATCAAAAAGCTTGAACGCTTTACTAAACTCATATCGTGCGCTTCGGCGAGTGCACGAGGACTGCTAATACATCTTGTATGGGATACGCATTAATACGCCTGACGCGTGAAACAAAAGATAGTTCATAGAAATGTACCGAGTAATGAGTCGGTTCTCGAGGGCCGCACGAGCGGCCGAAGGTTACCGAGAGCACCCGATGTATGACGAATTGAGATATGATTGACATGTCGTTATATTGTTTTGTTGCAGTTTCGAATTTTGATATTTTAGTAAAGTGCACCACCGGTTCGATTACCCACCGGCCGCCACTGTTTGTCACTATAAACATAATATATTAATTAGTTGAAGGTAGACACTAGCATTCTTTATCTATGATTCATAATTTTCTCGTCAAAAATTCTCTTTCAAATGACCTTTCACATTAATTATTGATTCATAATTATTACTATTTATAATGTTTAGTGTAGACACACTCAGTATATATTAGTCAAATGAATCTGGGCCTTCGTGGTAGAACAGATAGTGATATTTATATTCTAATATACTAACGCAGTCAGGTTTACGGGTAAAAAGCTCTCAACAAAGCCTACAAGACGTAAATAAATCAGGCTATAAATTAAAAAAAGCTCTCTCAGGCTCTCAGTGTAGTGCGGGTTTATTAAAGGCATAACTCTCTCAGCTTCCAATAACGAGCGGTATGTCACGAGAGGAATCTTTGAAGACGTGAGAGGAACGCGGTTAACTCTCACACAGGATATAGTTTGTGTAAGATGACGGTCTCCACGTTTAATACAACAACTATTTTAAACATTACCAGTATAAAGACACAAGCCGTGACTATGATACTATAACATAACACTGTGTTTACTAAACGTCCTTCACAATGAACAACAAGTCATTTAAGTGTCGGTGTCCAGCCGTCAGTTAGTCCAAAGTCAGAACAAATAATGGTGTTGGTTGATGAGTTTCCATTGTGCGCCGTTAAGGAAGTGAAAACATTTTTATTAAAATCGTAAAAGTGATTTTTTTCGAAGAAAATAAACAAGTAGTCTTTATGTTCTTTAAATGTTACACTTTTTTCCTTCAGCAGTTAATATAATCCAGCTTACAATATTAATTGGAACAGAGCATATAATTTAGATTAAATAGTTTTGTTTATGTTTTAATATTGTTGTAAGAATTGTTGTCTAACGATTTAATAAACTTGTAAAGATAAACTTATAAGATAATAACTTATTATCATCAACAGGATTATATTCAAAAGTTTTTAGGGGGTAGAGATATTTGTCACTCTTTCATGTGAAAACAAGTAATGACATTATGATGAAATGTATAAACATTATTGTAGAACATTATTAAATGTGATTTAGACATTAAAATAATGTGGTAAAATTCATTGTATAATTCCATGTAGCTCCTGGGGGTTATCTACCTGACTGTTTGTTAAGTATAAGTTGGCATCCCCACCATAAATACATACGTGGCGTTTCCCCTTTCTTATTCAATATTCTACGTTAATTCTATAATATAAGAAGATTTGTGAATGAAATATTCACTGTTAACGCTATATTGGAAGAAGCACGGAGCTGTATTTTGACTGACCCCACACTCCCCGCGACTCTACACGCATTGTGTTTAAAGGATCTATTGTTTTAACACACTTATTCATTTCTCTTTGAGCACGACTCTGAAATTCACGAAAGCAAAGTAGTGTGTAAAACAATGATATTTAAGTTAATTTTTGTCAAAGATTAAGAGTGTTATAAATATGTAATGTGAGAGGACATGGAACTCATATTATAGTGTCATTAATATTAAAGCAAATTCAAGCTAAATACGAATCAAAAGTTAATAAACTAGTTCAGGCTTTTTACAGTAAAGCAACATAAATGAGGTATTCTTACAGCTTAACTTGTAATATTACCCGAGTTCTTTTATTTTTGCTCGTGGCTCTCTATTTGAGGTTTACTTAAAGAGGAACTCTTTAATAAGGTCACTGTTCGTCTCCGTACTAACAACATTTGTTTCACCGTTTCGGTTCATGAGAGTCTGAGCTAATACTTCACATTTGGTACATTTATAAATGTCAAGTGAACCACACACCTGTAACCTTTCAACCTTCAGAGACGTTGATTTTGTATGAAATAAATGTATTTTATATCCAATTATTTCTTTACACTACGATGGACTTGATATTGACCGAATTAAGTGTTATAGTTATACGAAAATTCTGCAAAACGATTTTCATTCAATTAGAAACAAAAATGGTAACATGAATTAGATAAGAAAGTTATAATTGAATTTATTTGAATAAATCCATTACGAGTAGGTGGTTATAGCACTTGAGACTAGTGCAATAACTATAACAACTATGGAGGTTCACAGTATACTATACACTAGCAACAGTAACGGTGGGGCGAGTGTACACTACGAGTACAGTTACAGTTACAGTACACGGAATACGATCTGAGATAACGATGGAGACTGAGACATTAAGTTACACCTCTCTGTGATGTTGTATCTGAAACATATGATCATATGGAAAATAAACAGGCTATGTATGTATTTAGGAACATATATATAATACAGTATGTTTCATCCTGAGTGTGTTAACGAAATTTTCATTATCTGTAACAGTAAGCCGTTCTTTGAGTTTGTTCCTGAGCCGTCATCTGTTAACTACCTCATACAACCTACCGTAGTATGTCGTGTGGTAGTTGTTGTAATGTGGACCTGTCGTCCTCACCTTACACACGTACGAGTACATAACTGTACTTCTGGTTTTAACTAACAGGTCAGTTGGTGTTGAATGTTTTAATAAACATATATAAAACTGGAATATAACGCGAAAAAATACTAAAAATATATTGTATAAAAATACATGTAAAGTTGGCATTGTTTTATATTAAATTAAATAGAGTTACAGAGAATAATGAATGTCTTAACCAGGGTTAAGGTTGTCCTTTCAATAAACATTTATCTCAGCAGCTGTACAAGATACATAAAATCATTTCAATTATTACTAGATTGTGTTGAAGCTGCTTCTGACATTCAATAAAACTATTGTAAGGAACAATTATTCAGTTTGTGTTAAAGATTCATTTTATTAGCTCTGTCTCTTCTGAATCAGCAACACTAACGACGCAGACGATACACCATTGTTACATTATAACAATTATATAAATTGTTATCATTCAATATAATCACCTGTTCCTTTGTCTTTGTTACTTACAAAACAAATGTACACGACAGTACACACACTCAATCACAAAATCAATCAAAAAGTTTTGTTTTTCTTTTTTATATTGAAATTCACTTTTGTTTGTAAAATGTTTTAATTCTTATAATTATAAGTATTTCTTTTTTTATGTTCACTCCATGAAACTGTGCAAAAGTGGAAACTTTGTTGGCTTATATAATTATTTTAATATGTGAAAACTATAATGATATTGTATATGCTGTTTGTTTCCCTATAAATAAATAAATAAAAAAAAAAGTACAATTTTAAGATATTCAAATTTATTATCATATTATAGCCAATACTTTTTAAGGCAGGTCACATTTGAAGAAAGATTTCCTAAATTATTTTTAACACTACAAACATGTCGCCTGTGGTCGGTCGGTCACGATCACACTACTGTTAGTTTCTCTAAACTCAAATTAATGCTATTTATGTTAATTAGAGCGTGTTATATTATAAATGAATTGATAAGTACAAAAAAAGACATCAGAATCAGAGGAGACGTATTCATATACTGTGAATACTATACCTACATGATATTGAATCTGATCGTAAATAAACTGGTGTGTGAATGATTCAATAAAAAGATGTAATTGGGTTTGTGTTAGTGAGTGCGTGCTTCGAGCGAGGCTTATTGAGAGAGACGCGGAGATCTGTCGAATTAAACGGACCTTGAGGAGACGAGACACAAGGATGCTGCGAGCGATCGATCTGACGGTTAAGGAGATCACTAACTGTGATTATTGATGATAACAGACGCTAAACGATCCGCCGACCACGTTACATTAAAAACAACTACACATCAACATAAACAAACCACAAACATCTTAATGTGATAAAAACATACTAATAGGTAATATTTTTTAATAGTCAATTAAACAATTGAACGGATATTGTAAATCACTACCAGGAATATGTCGTTACTGTATGTCGCTGAATAAATAATTCCTAGCTGGTTGAATGATTTAATCATTGCTATCTGTTTTTGCTAAATAATTTTACATCGTTAAAATTCTTATTAGTTCTATTGCGTCTTGACTTTAGTAAATAGATAATTGGACAGGATGTAACAACGCCAATGCGCTGATCATAGTTTACCAGAGAGCTGTCTTGGTACGTACATGTATGTACGATTGAAATGTTTTTGGTATATAAATACCTGTTCCTTAATGCCCTCCTTATAAGTCTGTCAATATTTCCGTGTCTCCGAAATATGGTCATAATGAATGTCGTCGCTTGTAACCAAAATATTCTGTCGAGGGCCGGCCGGAGACACATCCGCGTTAACAGCAGCACGAGGTTGTATTACTATATGAGGCAATTACTTTAAAATAATGACTTTAAACACATATTACGAATGTCACAGAATACATATTTATATATATGTATACAATAAAGAAGGTTTATATACATCTGAATTATTCAATGATTCAAATTTACAGAAATATTAATATTAATTAAACAAATATTATGTTAATATATGATTTAGATTCAGAAGTAAATATTTTAAAAGATTGATTGTTATATATTCAGCTCGACCTATCTTTAAACACTTACATATATGAATACGATCTGGTAAGTCAAGATTTGATTTTTAATTGCCGTTTACTTATATCATTTGAAAATAATAAAAGAGAGACTACATGAAATCTTGAAAATTAAAATTATGACTTATGAAATGTGTACGGAAACAGAATAAAGGCAGTGGATTGTTCAATACCTGGGTGAAAAGGTCAACAAAACAGATATTAAGAGTCGGTATGATGAATGAGAAACCAGATCCACACACGTATAGGGTTCAGCTTAGTAGAAGGAATAACACGTTGATACACTTGTTGGAGAATAATAAAGAATACTATAACTGTGGCAAAAGGCTCCGTCGAGGAAGATGAGTGACATGAATTATATATAAAACATACCAATGGTTTAACATGTGACCTGGAGTAATGTGGTTGATGTGTTCGAGAGTCGTAACAAACCATTTAATATATGTATATAATCTAGTTCTTGATAACAGTTAAAGTTAATTTCTTTTAGTATTATTACTAACGGAATACATATTCATTAATTATAAAATGTTTTTCATTTTCATTACAAACATTTTCTTAGAGCAAAACTTTTATTGACTTCTACGGGAGCTTCTTTCAAGTTTAATTTCTTTTAAAGTTTGTTTGAGAGCGAGCATCTCATAAACATTGTTAATTCTGTATCGCGGCTCGCTAATACAAATAACATTTTAAATTTCTGAGGGGTTCGGAAGCCGTAGAGGCCCTAACCTTAATGAGAAATTAAATATGTTGGTGTACTGTTTCCCCGCCGAAGATACAACCAAGACGTGCACAGCTTAGCGGTCAGCTTACATACTAACAACTAACAATATTTTATATATATACACATTATAATATAATTAAGTAAGTTTCCAGACTCCAACACCCTCTCTAATGTTATTTTCTAAACAATATCATCACTAACTTCTCAATAAACTCATCCCGTCTGTTCTCTAATTGGTCTCACAACCTCCGTTATGTTATGTTGTAGAGTCTCTTGTATCTAATGACAGGTTTGCTTCCAAGCTGTGCGAGGTCCATAACGAGGGGTCCCGTTAGCCACCAGCTACCAGCGACCGGCCGAGTCGACCTGTCTGACGACCGCGCGCCTTACACACTACTGACACGACGCACCTTCACTATAGTATAGTACTAGAAAGTAAATAAAACGATTATAAATCAGTGTAAAATCAGCTGTTAGCCAATGCTGAAGACGTATGTAAGTCCTATGTGATGGTAATTATATTATATATGTCAATGTATTATATAAACACATACCGTTATAGCTCTAAGACTTCTTCTGTTCCCCAGAGACAGGAGCAGTCACCTGTCAGCTAACTGTTCCGTTAGCTCATGAGGGACGGGTGCCCGGCGCGGTGTGTGGTCCTCACATTAACCTGTTTACATACCTCTATATGCTTGTCTCATTACCGCATACCGTATACATTCGTTTGAATGAAATAAGGTTTAACATTTAAGATTTAAAATTACTTTTTCCCTCCAAATATTAGTTCGTCATTACTCTGATGTTTAAAAGGTTATAATTTTATTTATTTCACATGTTTTTATTCATCATCAGTGCTTGAGGTCTTCTGACTGACACGTCTTTTTATTTATCCCTTATCCCTTATTTTCTAAATTAATGCTTAGTAGTCTTTAAAGCTCAAATTACAATTAAGAAAAAAATATATATTTGTAATAGATAAAAGTTATATTATGTGACATATAAAGAGTCAATTATGAGGACTCAGAACACAAATATAAACAATGATTAGGAGACTCGGACGGGCAGCGAGGAGAGATTAAATGTTCATTCATTGGATATTAAACTTAATAAACTACATTACTATTTAGTATTTACAAACATTATATAAATATATTATGTAATATATAAAAACCAAAATAAAAATGATTAGTATCAACTATAGTTTTGTGTTTAACACGAACACGGTGCGGTGTGTGTGTGTGTGTGTGTGTGTGTGTGTGTGTGTGTGTGTGTGTGTGTGTGTGTGTGTGTGTGTGTGTGTAATATGTAACAGTTCGTTATAATTTGACTGTAAACAAATAACGTGTTATAAATATTATTCATTACGAGAATTTGATCACGGCGATGCTCAGTGTCTGATGTCTCAGAATAAAAACGAGTCCAGAAATAAACGGAACATATCTGACATGGATATATTGAACCTCCAACACGAACTAACATCATGTGATTTAAAAAACATTTTAAATATACACAGAATACACTTGTTGTGGAGACGAACGTTTAATATTATAATAAACTTTTACCTGTGTCACGAACATAAACAGATCACGCCTTTAAGATAAAAGATGAAGCAGGAAGGTGTACCGTTTAAAATATATTGTAGGTCGCTGCTGAGTCTTGAAGAACGACCAAAACTGATCTGCAGTTCATTTGTACGTTATCCTCTCTCTGTCAAGGTCGGCCGTAAAATCAGAAGCAGACATTAATAACCGAAGTAGCTTCAAAAATAACCTTTATTAAACTGCGGATAAAGACTATATTGGCGTGGCGAGAGTCGATCGCATAATGAGATTCCGGCTGGTTGTGAAGGCCGAGGACGACTCTTGACAAAATGAGACGAATTCCGCTCTCTCAATGATTGTGAACACAGCCTTAATAAACTCGGAGGAATCAGGCGTGAGGAGTGGGCGTCCTATAACATAGGTAATAATGAGAAATACATATTCTTATGTCTTGTCGATAACATAATAAAATAAAGATATTAAGGCGTATGTAGACTACTGTCTGACACTCACACACATATATAAAACTCGAAGTGTCCAGGTGAATTCTTAACATAATTTTATTAAGGGTGAAGTTATTAAAGAAAAGTATAGGATAGAACATACTACAGACACAATGTGAAGCACACAGCTAAGTGGACCAGCTGACTGCTGACTCCCCCGAGGAGTTCAGGTTGGAATCATAATCGTAGCTCGAGTCTGAATAACAATGAAGACACGTTGAATGAAAAATGTGTCAAGTGTCTGGAGACAGAGACAGGTGAACGGACTGTCCACGGAACAACACTAACTAATATTGAATAAATCAATGTGTGATGTTTAATATATGGGAACTGGGACACATACAGATTACTGGTGGGTTTCAAAAACATAATTAAACCTCATTAAATGCTCCATTATTTTAGTTTTTATGATTGAGCATTTAAAATTGAAAATATATATGCATGACGTATAAACACGACTGAAGTTTGGAGAAAATAAATATGAACACATCTATATGACGAAATTCAATAATAAATAATTAAATTGATTCCATGACATAATAGGTCCATACAAAAATGATAAAACTTAAAGTAACGAGGTTATAACAACAGAGAGCTATTATAACATTCTTTATATTTCTTAATGTAAGTCGGTCATTGAGATAAGACAGACTGCCAATAATATATGATAAAAAATAAATAATAAACAACGCCGGGTGAGGGTATTATAGTTACGATAAGTTTGTTATCAAGCTATTAAACGATACATTTAATAAAAATAATAATAATACTAATGTATTCTATATTTTACTTGACCTTTTTTTAAATAAACATCAGTAAAAACTGCATATAGTTCTTGTAACAAAAACCCTCGTCGCCTGGTAGGCTGTAACCTTATACGATTATACCAATAAAGTTTTTATGAACCCGGACTAACACAGCGGTTGGGGTTTAATTCTTTACCATAAAATAACTAAAAGACATTTTGGGAGAAGTGAAGCCATCAAACAATGTTTTAATGACGGAAGTGACTTTATTCAGATCAGAGGTTTTTCAAAATGGATAGTTATTTTAATCTTTTTCTATAATTTAACAAGAACACCGCCTTTTTATAACAATTGTAAGTTTAGTTTAATTAATTTCTATTGGTATTGTTTATTATTTCATAATTACTAAAGGATAGTGTTCTTAATGAACACAAGATAAGTATAGTTTTCTGTTGGATTCAAGATCAAATAACTCTCGACGCGGTACATTCTGGACATGTTTCTGAGAGTCGGCGGTGAGAATGATGAAAGGATATTCTAATTTTAGAATTCATACATTTGTAGTAATTTTGAAGTTTATTGAACTTTATTTGGGACAACATTTCCATAGCGACCCATGACATGAGATGATGACCTTATAATGTATGCCTGGATTACCATTCATATTTATAAATCGCACAGTGGCTGTAGTTTAAAAAGACGCATCGGAATAGGTCCAGCCGGATTGAGATAAATTTGAAACTCACATGACCTGATGAGTCTTCTTTTGACCTTTAACACATCACTACTGTCAGCTACAAGACGGGAAAGGAAGACATATAAAAGGATAAATTATCATTGAAATACATTTTTTATAATAATAAGCAAATATGCAAGTAGTGGAGGTTTTTATTTTAATATTAAGCACCATATCTATCCAGAAACTCAAGAAAGTCTAAACTCGTTCTCTGTGCACTTTCTCTCTCAAACAATAACAATATGTAGCTGAGATATCATTTAAGATGAAACATCTCAGTCTAACAACCACACACTTTCATCTCGTCTTCCCTTGATCATGATTACTGCTGTTTTTTAAACTTCAGGTTTTTCCCCGAAACGCACTTACTATTTGATAGCGGATGGTTAGAAAATACATATAATCTAAAGAGTTTTTTACAGTTTTGAGTTAAGCTTGATTGTTCTAAATGTAGGTGAAATTGTACAATAAAGACTCTTAATATGATGTATGGAAGCACGTGTCTCTACTATATCGGTAACATACGGATGACGCACTAGCCACTAGCTACTGTAATATTTAGCAAAAACTGTTTGAATGAAAGTATCTTATTCGTGAAAGGTCGTCGCCCCGCCGGGGATCCAGACAGAGAATTGCTGTAATCAAACATGTGGCATTACTTTTGTAATTACAATGAATTACAGGCTTGCCTATGTACAGACACACATCGCACTTCAATGTACATACAACGGGAACTACCACCCTACCACTATCACGATGGTTTATATAAAACATTATACACAAGTAATATTATCAAGATATTCGGTGGTAGGTCAGACCGTCAGACGGACGGACCTCAGGCATTTCATAGTTATGAACATTATGCGGGTCCTCTCACTGCCATGATCTGTCTGTGAGGGACACAGATATGTCCACAAATTATTTTAATTATTATTATCTCATATTAGTGTTAAATGTACTAGTACTGATTGCTGTCAGCTTAATATACAGTACTATAACACTATACATGATAGACACTGTTTATTTAGATAAGAGTCCCCCCACCACCACCCGGCCCCCCATTCCTTACTAATCTCCAGCTTCTCGTAATCCTTTCAAGACTCCACACATCCCTATAAGTTTGTTTGTGTTCTTACTTTCTATGTCGTCCCTGGTATGATTCAGTTATTTATATTATTTACAGAAGACACATCAAATTGGAAAACTTTAATATATGAAAAGAAGTTTTTAAAAGTACAGTTATAAGTTTGTCGTCAGGACACATCCATTATACACACATTGAATATTTCAAATCATTATGTCATTATAATGCCGCAGACAGAGCCAAACTATACACCATAATTCAATACAATTGAAGGTTTTTAAATTAAAAATAAAATGAAAAGCTATTCGTCGCTTAAATATTGTGAAGTCATTGAAAATATAAAATAGCGCTCAGCAATTATAGCATTGATGGCATCGCGCGAGGAGCGGAGGAATTCAATAAGTTGAGATGACGACGGACGCTCGCACGGGACGGTAGCTACCTACTACCACCTACCGCCACCTACCACTACCACTCACCATCCTACAACAATAATATGAAACACATTTTAGTACGAATAAAATTTATCTTTCTCATTAATAATCATAATGACACACAAACAACTGTAGGTACATATATATATATAAGAGCCGTCATCTCTCACGGAACCTCGAGCTCCTCATCATGAGGACTCACCTTGAAGGGAGTTCTTTATGATTCTATTGAGTTATATTTAGGTTCAGAGTATTTTATTTAAACGGTACATCGTTTATAACACAACTGTCTCACCAATGTACATCTCTCCCGCGGCTTCATATTCGCTTCTCCAATCCACAACACGCCTCATGCTTTAATTACCGATGTCTTTTTTATATAGTACACCGTTTTTTCATCTGTTTATATACAGGTGAGGTTTTTCAATTCTCTGTGTTAATAATGTTTCCTGTATTTAATAACAATAAATTATTCTTCTCCAGTGAGCGTTACCGTAACTTCTTGTGTCTTCACTAACTCTTTTTAGTGATAGTTCAATAAGCATTGAATATATTACACTATTCATTAGTTATTCTGAATATTCTACCACACACACACACACACACATACACACACACACACACGCACACTTATCATCATCATCATCATCATCTTTTCTTGTCGTATCATTCTCCATGAGGTATATATATTTTTACCTAACCTCACTCTAAATAAAATCCTATTTATGTTCGAGTTCACTTTTAAACATTCCGCTTCTCAATTATTTTTATAAACGCTTTGAAATACATCAATAGTTTTATATATACGTAGCTATATATATTAAATGTTGATGTTCATCGTAATCTGTGTGTAATTAATTCTTGATTTATCATTGAGCGATAAAAAAATTGTTTTTTTTTTGTTTCATACATCGTCTATATATATATTTTCTTTCCCGCATATTAGCATTACTTTATATCAGACGTCGAAGTTTATATTTCTTAGTTATTATTATATACTTACATATAACGCATGTTTATTTATCCTTTCAATAATCAGTTTAAAATAAACTTGTTTTAAATTCAGAAATAAGAAAAGACAATATTTTCGTGTCGCCGTACTACATACCTTATTTAACATGTTTAAATGAAACTATACTTTTCGGATTTATTCAATATTTTGATTGTGCTACATTTTACTCAATAATTTCACCTGGTCTGTTCATGATAACGTTTGTTGCCAAGTAAATAAATTGTAATACAATGTTATAAAGCACTAGCTGTTACCCGCGACTTCGTCTGTGTAAGAAAAGGGAAAAATAAACTATGAAAAACCTTTTAAAAAAAGATACTCCTTATTACATCAGATTAAAAGTCCCAAAATTAAAAGTACCTTTAAAAGTCCCGTCACAATCGATCCAGCCATTTGAGAGATTAGCCGGAACCAACAGACAGACAGACAAATTTGCCAAAAAGAATATTTTGGTGTATGTACCGTATACAAATTCAAATGCATGTTGTAAAAAACGTTTATTACAATAATACAAACAGACATTCACATTTTATTTATTTATATAGACAATAGTAGCGAAGTAAATACGTAGGACATAGTATTATTTAAAATTAAATTTGGCTTTAAATAAACTCCCGACTTCACTTTCTTCAAATACAGCCACCATTATATTGAAATTTGAAAGATATAAATAATTTTAATGTGAACTGAAATTTAAAAAATAAATAATAAATGATGTTCTTGTCTATTTTTAGGACGTCACAGCTTTGATAAATACAATATTAATATTCAAATATTTCATCTTAAATGGAGACGCGGCGTCACCGAAGTCATTCTAGTCTGGCTCTTTGAACTCTTAAATAAATCGGAGATCCCGAAAATAAGGATTAGTGTTTTATAACAAGACTTTTAAATAAACACCATACAGCCCTCGGTTCAAATCGGTCATCAAAATAAATACAGGCATCTGAAGCGTCCGTCATCTCGTGATGGATGTAGGGCAGGTCTCAGAGAGTACCTGCACGCGGCCGGTTACTGTGGCTGCACGGCTCAGAGGAAGTATTGTATATTTAGATGAGGTGTGAACCGAATATGAGGACGCGTCTCCATTGTACAGACCGCACACCTCACGTGTAAAACACAAACCAATAGGAAATATACCGTGTTAAAAGTGAATAATGGACACAGTAATAAATGTATTCTGTAACACGAGAAGGGTCGTTAATAATATTTATTAGGAGGCCCTTCGTAATAAAGGAACAATTCAATAAAAGCTAAGTGTCTGTGAAGTCTGTAGTGTAACGGGCACGGTTCCCTCGAGATGCTGATAGGTCGCCTCGAAGATGTTACGGCCGGTCGACGACCCCGGCCGGCCGCTATCAGCCGCTCGCTTGACCCGCGAACTAACTTCCGACAGGCGACCTATCGGCTCATTATACACACTCGGATGATTCATGAAGCTTTAGACGACGAATGAGCTCCATCCGACACAAGCAGAGAAAAGAGAAACCGCATTCAACGAACGAAACAGATCGACGAATAGAAAGTGTTGAGGAACACTCAGCGACACAGACGCTGGTCTATTGTTTGAAATAACAAATGTTTTATATTTAAATCATGTTGTTGGAACATTAATATGTAAGTATTGTTACACGGGCGAGATGTGGCTAAGTATGTCTACTAATAACAGCGCTGCGGAGTCGACGACCATGTGTGTGTGTGTGTGTGATCATAACCCGGAAGAGATGTGCACGGCGCATCACATCATTATACAGCGATCTGCTCGGGAGACCCTTAAGATGGTCCGAACACTAGGACTTACCTCCACAAGCGACTTACTGGTACAAGAAATGGGAGAGTGAGAAAAACATCGTGGGTGCATAATCATATGAAAAGAATACCATATCAGCATAGCATCCTACGTATTCAGTTACACTTATGGAGTAACAAGAAAGACTTCATGGATGATGGAAGTACATAGTAGTATATAAGTAATATTTATTAAATCCCATTATGTATTCCCGATGACCTACGAGCCTAGATGAATACGTTTCTATTTTCCCATTGATTGATGGAGTTCCTATCGTTCAGCCGCCATCAGTATGCGCACGCGCACCCCCTCCTATGCATGTAAGCTACGAGTTAGCGCATAATGCCTCTCTTTGCACTTGGAGCGGCACACGCACATTAGAATTTTATATGACAGGCGCCGGCGAGACGGCCGTTACTATATACCTATGTATTCAATTAGTATGACTTCATACGACTAAAGGGAAAATATGTTACAAACATACCGTTGTGTTTGTTTTGTTGTGTACATGTAGTCGACGCGGGCGATAGTTCCAACAGAACAATCATTAACAGTCACACTCTTCCGTCATACTAACATACATACAGTCGTTGGTGGACTGATCTCCTTTCACCGTCTGATGATCCTTGTACATTATTAACAACAAACTTAATAATATTAATATATGGCTATATTTTAACAATTATAATTAAATAACTTAACATATTGTGAGCGCCCCAAGAATATTAAACGTTGAATCGGAGCGAGTTATAAAGAAAACATGAGACTCCTGTATCCTGCTTTGAATATGAAGCATTTCCTGCTTAACGCATTCTTTTGTGGAGCGATCGTGTACTTGTACCGGAGTTTGAATCCGACACGACATCTTAACGTATCGTAAAGCAACTCAACGCAATAAAAGGCTGATTTTAATAGAGTCAACTTAAACAAATAATGAGCCGGTCTACAGGCCGCTGGTGGCTCGTGTTTCATGTTTGCATCTCTCGTGATGAATCTTGTTTGTTAACATCATCATACAACTATTTTTATGTTGTGTGACAACTGTAATAAATCACTTTACACTATGTTTTGCATTTCAATACCATTTATTTCATATTCATTAAGCGGCAAGATAATTATAAAACTTAATGAACATTAATACATCTGTACATCACATATATGTATTTACTTCAAGTTTACTTTAAAAGTTCCGTCGAGGTCGTAACTGGAACTCTAAATAATCTCTTCCACATACAAATCCGCATCATCTGTGTGTGTCTATGAGCCGCTCGTGATCGTACCCTAAAATCCACTCAATAATTCATCGATATTTAGAAAGTGACGGCTTTAATAAAGCTCAGAGCTCAGCCGGAGTGTTTTGTTCCCAACTTGAACAAAACACTTCGGCTGATTCGAGAGCACTACAAAACTATAATACGCTGTTTAATACAGACAAAACACAAACTATATAGTTCTTAGCCGGGATTTAGCTCTCCGTCTCGATGGATTCTAGGAACAAGAGCACTTAGTTAATATTAACGAACATAGCATAGTTTAACCCGCGCCTGGTGCAGGTCCCGCTCGAGGCCCCGTTAGTGAGCCACTCCACGGTGGCTTACCGTCACGCTGACTGACCTCGGTTGACATCATTGTGTAATGACACCGGAGATAACGTTCCCGGAGGTACAACAACTTATTATGTTATAACACTCACAAACACTGACTACATCCAGTTGGTCGGAACACAGACTGACGCGGACGGTAACATTAAGTTCATTAGTAACTAATTACTTTAGTATTTGCTACTTTCTATATTTAACATATTTATATTGCTGTATTAGAAGTTATTCATGTGTTATTGGTCGTAGTCAGGATCTTTAATAAAGGTACACAAGGCGATGGTAACATGTTTCTCTATGTTCAACTATTTTAAAACCCATTAATATGAGAAATAATTTCGAAACCTCAACCATAAAGATATTATTTTAATATATAAAATTGCATAAAAAGCTGAATTGACTATTATTACATCACATTAAATACATTTTTGTGTATGTACCAGTAGTTCCAGGTACAATGGATCTGCTCCGGGAGGAAATTCTTAATTCATACCAAATGATAATATGAGTAATAACTATATGTATGTTTATATTATTCTCTAGGACCTCACAGGTCTCACCCCCCCCCCCCCTCCTCTAACCGTCTCGTCAGTGATACTACTATTTTTAAACCCCGAGCTATGTAATGATAATGGTAACAGATGTTAACACTACTGTTATATAATAAATAATAATATTTAACACAATCCTTTCACATAACATATCAAGGGTAAAAAAATCAAATCATCATCCGAGGCTCTCTCTGAGTGAGTCTGATTCAATCTAAAGAAGGTGATCTAATTACTAGTGATTCCTGAGAGTCGGACTTCCTCTTAGGATATGTAATTACTGCTACTAGCGGAAGTCACTCATTATCTGTATAAAGCGTCGCTAAGTGACGCGGAATGAAGACAGTACACGTGCTTCCTACCCACGGACAGTCATCTTGAGTCTCGACACACTGAGGACATTGTGTGTGGACAAAAGATGAACATACGTGAATTAGGTTGGACTAAAATTAAGGTCGGCTGACAAGGTCGGAACGTTTGAACCAGCAGCAGCTATGGAGTTCAATAAAGTATGACTTTGAAATAGTTCTAACCTCGCTTGAGACATACTTTGTAGAGATCGCAGAATTAAAACTCCATGTCATTGTTGTTCCAACTGATCTATGACACTGTTTTTCCCGCGTGTTGGACGAGACGCGACGCTGTATGTAGACCGGCGACCGCACATAGCGCCGCGTGTAAGTGTGATGTTTACAACGACTATAAAACATTGTAAGTATTGCAATAAAACATGTAAACGGAGCCGCGCGCATACGACACGAGGTTATACTATCACTGAGGGAATGAAAGGATGCCACAATAAATATCACATGACACACAGATTAAACAACCGGCACAGAACAGGGACATTGTAACAGTAGGTGGTGGCTGGTGAGAGAGACGCAGCAGTTGAACGTGTAGGTAGGTGGAGAGTACTCCTCCGCTTGATGTGACCTGAGTAATCATTCATTGACACTGGTGTTTGTGTGTGTGTGTGTGTGTGTGTGTGTGTATGTGTGTGGCTCCGTGTGTGGTCACCTGACCCTGTGCCACTTATCTTTTTGAAACCGCACTAATCCTTAGAAACACTTGAGATGGTACGGCGGCGACACGATAACGACACGATGCCTTTATAATATACAACTGTTTAGTTAATATCGTTAAAAATATTAATACGTTTTACCTCTAAGACCACTTATTCAACGTTGCAAGAATATTATAGTTAATTAAAATATAATTGATAAATAATATATTACAATTAACGACATGAGATACGAAGGAAACAGGAAAAAAATTTACTGTGGTTGTTAGAAAATTTGTTACAAATATAGAAAAATTTAAACTACGGTTATACTATAGAAACATACATCACATAAAACAACATAATTGGCTTACATTCTAACGTTTATTTCAAATTAAGACTCAGAAAATAACGCTTCTATATCTTATAGTTCATGTTAAACTTTCTGTACAGTTGTAAAGAGCTCATATGTATAGTGTGTAGCGTATAGTGTGTAGTGCGCCACCCACGAGCCCGGCTCGGGTCCCGAGGGAGACGCCCGCGATGTCACGGCTCGTGATTTTATCCGCAATCTTATTTGTAATCATTAACGGCTTCGAATATAAACAGGCGGTTAATATTAAACGAGCCCTACACGACACACGACACACGACACACGAGGAATGTGAGACGCTCTATTACACTCGGGAATATGGAGTTAAACCAGAATAGGTGTTACCGAATATTGGGAGATCATGACACATGGCACGTGATTGTGTTTAAATATTCATGACCGTCTCTTGATCATCCTCTCACAACAATATATTACAGAGAGAGAGGTGTTCGAGGAACAGAGGCTGAGTACAGAGTGAAGGAATACGAGCCACAGAGATAAATATAAGGTAATAAGAGGGTGAAGCAGAAAAACAAGCAATAAAACATTTTAAGATGACAACCAATTATGTTATGGGACCTGAGGCACACATATTTTTTCTTTATTTTTTATAATAAAAACGAAAATAAGTATTTTGATAATAATGAGCTCCATTGTAGGATAAAACATTTTTTATGAATTATAACTTTATTCCTGATGTCTATAATATGTAAGGTCGTGTAGACACAAGTTGTAAACGAATGTTAGCTACCAGTTCTATGTTAGTGAGGTTCATCCTTCACACATCTCCGTGGAGTCCTGGATGTCCGGTGGTTGCTAGTCAGTGATTGTTGTACCATTACGTAAGAGCCATCATCATCACTTAATGTTGAAGATCTACTCATGGTCCAATCTGCTCGGCCCCGAAAATAAACACAAGACACTCCACACAAGCCACCTATACACAAGACACTCTACATGTTACAAGTTATAGTCGTTATTTCGTTTATTGTGATTCCTGTACACAGTTGACGGAAGAGATCGTTACAAAAGATATTGAAGCATTTACTTATTACTGTTCGAGATGTTTCAAGTGGAGTGTCTCATAAGAGTCTCTTATAACTAACACGTCTTTGAAGGTTTCCTCGAGCTGACGGTATACACGCTCCGGACCACCAACTCCTGGCGGATGAAGGGGGAGAGATGGTGTTTGTTCTGAACTTGATGATAATGTATATAATACCTTCCAAAGATAAATGTCAACAGAATAAGCGCGTATTTTATTTGTTGACATTTTATAGTTTTGTTTTATGTTAAAATTTTTATTGTGATGTTATAGATGGCATTAAAAATTAATGGTAATAAAAGTGTAGCCGTGTCGTGGGCGCCACGCTACCAGCCTCGTGGTATTGATTGATATCGGGACGGTTCAGAACAAGATCAGATCTATACGAAGATATATTAAAGATGAATGTTCAATAATACAAATGAACAGAGAAACGTGCTGGATTATAACTGGGACGATATTATTAGTTGTAGATCTAAAGACACATAGGTTCGGCTTACAATTCCTTTAGTAAACGCTGTTGTAAGATTATATTCTTTTCTACTGTGCGTATAAATACAAGCAGATTAAAATGAATGACATATTGAGAATTATAAAGAAATACAAATAACTAGTCACAAATATCTTATTAATGTAATATATAAAAGACATTAGTTGACAAGTTATTTGAGTTTATTGTTGATAGTTTTGTTCTCGAGAGTATCTTGATCGTGCCATTACTAATTTCTACTTAACGTTTGATATTTTAAAACTTACATAACATCTAACATCAGAACAGTTTCTGAAGCATCTTTATCTCATTTTCAGTTTTATCTAAACGGTATGACGTCACCGAAACAATCGTGTGACGTCATGGATAAAGATTTCATCCGACAACAAATGATATATTTATACATATGTTATATTCTTCAAAATAAAGTGTAATGAAAGATGTTTATAATCGTATCATTTTAAAGTGATCTGCTTCTTGTTATATTACGATTATATTGTCTTGTTATATTTTTTTTTCCGTGTAAAATTTACTGTTTGTGGCGTACAATAAAGTATATTCTATTTATCTATCTACGATTAAAATCTATTGAAGACGTGTCTTTTAATATGATAGAAGTTTAATTGAACTCCGCGATCCTCGAGAGTGGACATGAGGCGACCTCACGCGGGGTCTCGGATCAGACAATTGTCTGTATTGAAACGTACTTGGCATCAAATGCATTAATTAATAAACATCGAGCGACACACACACACACACACACACACACACACACACACACACACAGGGCGGCTCTCGACACAGAATAGATGCAGTTTATGTTAAATACAATATTATTGACACAAGTCCTGTGATGAATACCAACCCGACACACGCACACGGAGCATCATGAGATTAATGAGTTGAGTTAGTCACGACACAATCATAATGACTACCTGCTGCTGCACTCATCATACTAACGAGAGCCTTGTTGACGAGCTTCAAGGACGCCGTGGACTGTCTTTCACCCCCGGGCCCGGATATGACCTTCATCATGATGGCTCCTACAGCAGGACTCACGTCAAATGTTCCTTTATCATATACTATTCAAACTAAATCACTGCTCGTATATCATGCTGTACACAATCTATTTCGGAAGCAAGGTAAACACAGATAAGACATCTCGGAGCTGCAACATTGTAATCAATTTATTTATTTACTCGATCATAAAACGGTTCACTTGTACTGTAGCCGACCTTCACCCGATACGGCGGGGGGGAGGGGAGGTACTGTCGTGGGGTTTGACAACACACACACACACACACTCGGACAGAACCGCCTTTTGTTTACATATAGGGTCATTTTGTTTACATATTCACGGACTCGTACCAACGGTTGTAGCTAATTAAATTACCTCATATTATCGTATTGTTATTATAAATATTTTGTTAATTCAATGAATGTTCATGATCGCGTGTCGTCACCGTGTCGGAAGTGTCCGGTGTCACCTAGTGTCCGGTCTCGTTGTGTCCCGGTGTATGTCCGTCCTCTCTCATCGCCTGTTAACTTTATACGTGACGTAATGTCCGTAATGATCCGATAACCAGCCCGGTGTCGGTCGTGTTTTGATGAAGGAATGTTAGCAACCTGTTATTATATAAATAGAGCGTTGCCACAACAAAGGAGGCTGTGAGCCGCCACGACACGCCACGAGGAACAGTACTTACTGCCTTATACACACACACACACCTGAATATAATTTTTCTGTACCTTTTACAGCGGGAAGTGACCGAATACCAATATTTACACTCGCTCTCAATAACAGGAATCGATTACCTTTAATCCAAACAAAAGTTCTAAAATAGCCAATATGAAACCGACCGATACGAGGCAACGTGAGAGTTTTTACGGGGAATATATTCTATTACAAAACATTCTATATCAACAGATGCTCAGTCACTATAACACTTTGAAATATTTGTAACTACTTTCCTTCACCTAAGACAATCACAATTCGCTGAGAACAACGGGACATGACCATTATTTACATTAGTTAAAAGAATAAGGCTTGTGACAGCATTATATTAACCTGATGCAGGATGCAAAGCCTCCGCTTAAACGAACCACTATAATAAAATGAACAAGTATAAAAGGTACATTAAGCAAGTTAATAATGAACGAAAATGTCAGTACAACAATAATAAACTGCTTACAGAGTGACATCCTTTAAAGTTTAAAGAGTCTTAATAATAACTACTAACATAATATTAACACTTGAAATCGAAATTAACAAGTTCTTTACTATATAGAAAATAGGGAATAAGTTTTTACTTAGTTGTTAGAACTCATAACTAATTCCATTTTAGAGACGTCCGAGTAACAGTTGTTGTCTCCCTGTAAAGATGATGTGAACCGTGATGAGAGGACATGTGTAATATGATGTTTTATTTTCATGAAAAACATTAAACACTCTGTAAGTGTGTGTAAGGAGCCGGGCCGGTGGGAATGCATAAACACTTGTTCACCTCAAACAAAGGAGCGCCACTAATTTATTTCCCATTGCACTGTCAACCTTGCCCTACCGCCGTTGACCTTGAGCCATGTCACGCTCCCTCCCCCTCCCTCCCTCCTTCACCCCCTGCCTCCTCCGAAGCTACTCTGTATGTAGAGTCGCGTCGAAGGCATTAACGATACAAAGCAGTTCACGAATATCAGCGGGCACTAATTTGAGAGATTATGATATGAAGAGAGGAAGCTGCTTACATAAACATTTGCTGAATATATTAAAACATAACGCGTCTCGTGTGTAACGTACGGTGACAAGAAACCTTTACAAGAACTTTATTTAACAATGTTGTAAACTGAAATTAAAAATATATGAAAGTAATTTAATATCAATATAATAAATTTAAAGAAGAAAATTATTTTTCTTAAATCATATTATTATGGTAGGTAGCGAATATGTCTTGCATGTAAACATATTTACAAATTTTAAATCCTATGGAGTGTTCAATGAGTGTATTAATTGGCGTGAAGTGTAAGATGTGTTCACGAGGAGTACTGAGAGGCTGGCGACTGATCTTAATACATTCATTGCTTCGGTAATGAGATCGTTTAAAGTGAAACATTTGCGTGAATAAATTGAGAAGCATTTTGAACAGGCGAGCTCCCTCCAGTTTGATCACAAAAGCATAAAAGATTACATTTGTTAACGAGAAAATAATCAAAGATGCGAGCGATTTATAAAACGTGTCGCGATCCTTAAGAATGTGTTCCGACATATTGAATAACGGACGACCTTTAGTATTGTGTTCCATCTAATATTAGAGACGGAAACCGACGGGATATTAGATGTAGATGACGGAGAGTGTAGCGGCGCGGAACAAGAACAGAATGAAAACACGATGCAGGTCACAACATACAGGAGGACGGCCAGGTGACATGGACCTTTATTAAATAATGACTGACCGAGCGCCTTGGGTATATATTACATTACAACTCCTATCAATCCGATCATACATTACTCGAGAGCCCTGTGACACTTAAAAACACATTAAATAATTTTCATGAATTTTAAATTATTATCAACAAAGCTATCATGTTTAATTATCCGTCCACATTATATTTAGTAAAATCAATTTAACCATTTCTGTAGTTCAAATAAATTATATGATTTCAGTTTAATTTGAAACGTAATTCTCCAACAAAGCTTCGATTCTCAGTCTCGTATAAGGTCAAGAGGAATTAACGCTGGCCTCCAAACAAAGAGCTTATCCGGAGTCCTTTCCTTTAAGAGGCTTTTCGCATCTCATATAACTGACTGAGGAGTCGGGCTGAGGTCAGAGGGCTGATTAAAACAATACCCACCCCCCAAATATATTAAAATATTAGATGAAAAGTAAGCCGGGAGTACACCGGGAGTAACTATGAAGTAAATTGGGATAAACTTCGAGTAAAGAACACTGTTAGTGTAGTTTTGTAAGTATTTAAAATAAATCTTTAACGAACTATCTCTAAGATCTCATGTTCAATGTTCAGTGAGCTCCAACTACTTGTAACTGTTTCAAACAGAATTTATATCAATTAAACGAGTCGTCTGCGCCGTTCAGCATGACTGTGGAACTTTTAAATCAGAACCACTTCCTCCCGGCCTCTAAAGACGTCACATTCAATATATTTATAAATAATTAATCATCTTTGAGTAATTGAAAATTAGTGTTCGGTCATGTTTGGTAACCGGTGAGGCATCTCATCCGCCGACCTCAATACATCTGTTGCCTCTGTTGGTTCAACATTACCATCATAAATCAATAACCGAGCTCGTCACTAACGGGAAAAACGTCTGTACTCTGTACAAGAACAAAACAAACTCTACAAAGAAACAAAGATGTGTCTTTAGATGCAGATAAGTTGCAGCGCTATAGCCGGCGGCGCGCGGCGTGCGGCGTCCTAATGACCCAATCCCTCAATGCGATAATAGAACATTCCTCTAAAAATATCTTCGATATACATTCATATACATTCCGTACCAACACGAGGCGAGGCGAGACATGTTTTTTACTTGGTTGAAGTGAGTTCTGTTACGAGTATATCTGATAGTGTAACGATTGAACGCATTAGTGAATTCACATTGTTTAGTAATTACAAGAAAACCTTGACGATTAGCAGAAGATTTCGATATAGTTGCTAAATGATGAAATAACTGGAAGCAGCTAATTATACCGCAACAGAGCTAGGTTTGTGTACGCTCCGACCGACCACCGAACGATGAACACCGAACAATGATTAACCGAACACCGAACACCGAACACCGAGCATCGAGCACCGAACGGTCGGCCTTGTGTTGATAGAGCCATGAGTCATAAGTCACACACAAACAAAACATCTCGCTTACTGTTAAAACTTTCGGTCGAAATCGGTTCATTGGAATACCGGCCGGGAATTCCTTTATTAAAATACTTTCACTTTACGGACATTCAATATAGAATTTAAATTAAATTTATAAGGCGGATAGCCATCCAAATAAAATAAATATATTATAAAGTGACATACACATGTACACGAAGGAAACTCATCGTAATAAAAATAACATATTATAATGTTTGTAAAAAATCCGATCATTTCGTTTGTTTTTATGTTTTAAGGTACAATTGTTACGTTTAAAATATATTGCAATTTTGTAAAGTTGTTGCTCGAGCAATGAATTGTTAAAACAATACACTATGTAGCGCCCTCTCCAAGGACTTGGACTATAATTGTTTCTTTATAACGGACTGACTCACGGAAACTGTCGCTATCGTTCACGGAGTTACAGTTCACACTGTTTATGATTATGTGTTTGTAGGTATGTGTGTCAGTTTGTTTTGTTTGTACATCATGTTGTTTAATTTGTTACAATAAAGTTATTTCGTAAGATGAATCAATATTAAATCATTGTATACAGATCTCCGCCACTCTCCACCCACCCAGTCGTCTGTCTTCCGAATAGTTTTATCGTGTAATGGTTTCTTAATAGCAGCCGGCGACCAGCGGTCAGCGGTGACTCATCTAATATATAATTCGTCGAAGTCAGTATATGTAAGAAGTGTGTTCCCCGGCCAGGTGGCCAGGTCGCCTCTCCATACACCTCAACTGTTTACATAAAGTCTGTCTATGGATTCTGCGGACTAAGAACGAACCTGGTACTACCTTTGCCCCTCGCGCTTTTCCCCTCAACATGAAAGTCTACATTAATAAACTAGTAATGTTATAAAACCCTCTCATCCGAGAACAGGGCGTGAGGTTAAAATTACACAAGACATTCATTGTGATTATTGTTCATTCTTTATGAATACCTAGAGTCTCCGCAGCTCTAGATCTCTTAAGAGTTGGATTGTACTCTACATTGTTTTATATATATATATATCCGGCAAGATGATTATTAATTTAAAATTTTTATCACTCATATGATCATCAGCTATATCATTATAGTTCGCCGATTGTTTTGTAAGCTAACACTAAAATATTTGACAGTGAATTCAATTGACTCATGTTATTTCGTATTCGTTTCCTAACATTTGACCGGATCTTCTAACAAGCCGTCTGTTACTAAAACTTCTACCGGCAGCCTCTTGAATTCTCTTCATACATGGTTAATGTAAAATTTTTCATTTCATAAATAATAATTTTAAAAAACTCAGTGACACAAATACTTGTTTATTTACACATATAGTCAAGAGAGATGTTTGTAGTGACCTCCGGCTCTAGACTACTGTCCATATGTACGAGTACATACAAATGATGAAAATAAATGTAATTGACTTTCACTAAAAATGGGTAATATATAATTATATAATTTCTGGTTCAACATTTATAATGTTATGTTGCAAATAAAAACTATTTAAAAAATATGACAAGAGATGAAGTGAAATTGAGAAAACCTTAATCGGAACATTTAATATCGTCTCAAATAATATAAATCTGTACATTAAGACAATATGTTTAATTACTATATTCGTTTGTTATGTGTACATACTACAGACCGTCGCTTCAATATAGTAATCATATTTCTTACGTCCCAGTAACTTTCTATATGTAACAAAGAAAAACGATATCTGGAGAAAAACTTATAAACGATATTAAAGATGAATTGAGTCCTTGTAACACATGGACAGACGGTCACCCTCACATACATACATACAGCTTCAGCTGACTCCACCTTATTATATCATACATATTATTAACAACATACTTCAAACAGTTTTCCACGGAGTTTTTCCTCATGTAGATGTATGTGTCGGAGCACATGACCACTGACCGCGATATAAATAACGAGTAGGTTCGAGTTATAAATTGTAACGCATTAGTCGGTTATGTTGGAGCGATGACGTACTTCCTGGATCAATACCGCATGTAAATATTCAGAAATACATTACCACCAACTAAAATACATTACCGTTACCGCGACTCGCGAGAGAAACAGAAGCCCGCGCTACGAACGGAACCTAGCTATTAGATACCTTTAATACTCACTGACAATTCACTTAACTGTCTGAACGTCACGATCAGATGTCTGTTTGATAGGAACCCTCGAGCCAAGTTATAATGGTGAATATTAAAGCTAATCATTGTAAGTGTAAACGTTGACACGCGCCGAGGATGAAGGGTACAGGACTCCGGCGGAGGGTCGACATTGAATAGTGAACTGTATCTGAGAGCGGCTCTAGGCTTATCAGGAACATTCAGCTGCACGTGTCAGGAGGGTCCCAACCCTTTCATTGTTAGATGAAGGGCTCCAACCCTCCCAGCCACGTGAAGTTAAAACGAACAGTCCAGTGAGTGTGACTCGACTCACTACGTCTGAATAGTTATTATTGAATATTAACTCACAATCGTTTCTTATTAATTTTTTCCGAGTCATACATAATTATAACTAGATGATATATGTTTTTTAAATACAAACTCTGTATTGCTCAACTACGGTAGCTGGAGACAAAGGTGAAGGTGGGCAACATACGCCTATTCTTTTGACTTTACTTGTAGTCACCCATATTCCAAGTGGTAATCACCCGTCAAACGCCACATCCTTAGTCCTTGTCTGGTGGGGCACCCACACGCGCCGCGCCGCCTGATACACGCGTGCCTCGCGGTAATTAAACCAATCTGATGGCTCCCGATAAAAGATATCTTACTGAAACGTGTACATACGAGTTATAACTAATTAAATTATGTTTTATTTGAACGAGCCAATGATACTTAAGACTCACTCAGTTCGGTGAATTAATACACGAACTTGTATTTTCATAATGTATACTAATAAATAAAATTATTATTGAATATACATATATAAAGTACCTTTATGCACCGATACGGTATTCGTTTTTAACATAGATGGACCTATTATGAAAGGACTTTACTCCCAGGTGAGTAATATCACAAAAGTGACCTGTTTTACTCACTTTAAAAAGTATAAGTTGTCAATTACATTAGTTTCTTTAATAATATGTTAATTTCTAAATATTTTTAATCGAAATTAATTCTAAAATAATCCCCATATCACAGCCCGCATCTGATTGAGACATCTTCCATAATTTGACTGACACCTAGTAAGAATGATGACGCGTATCTCAAATAGGGTCTGCTGTGAACAAAGCCGCCGGTCACACCTAGTCCGTTGTCCTGTTGTAGAAGCCAGTCAGTACATCAGTTCATTTCTCTGTCAGTCTCCAGTCCTCACTGTACATGCCACCCTTCCTACGTGTCTCGTCTCCGAGGGAGCGCGAATCTTAATTAATATGAGACACGGATCCCGACAGTTGATTGTCAGTTTATAAATCATTGGCTAATGTTCACAGATGTTCGCCACCGACGTTACAGATCTCCGCGGCGCCTGCACGCACACACACACGCACACACACACACACAGGCACAGTTACATAAGAACACATCTTCGCAGTCCCTTGAACTCAATATGGGTCGTATATTTATATTGTAATAACGTGTTATCTATTCAATAATAATATAAATCACATTCATCTACAATATTAAGTGTGGACAGAAGCTGAAGAGACCACACACACCGGCCGGTAGAGAGTGACAAACGACGAGAGGTCTTATCTCATTTCATCTCATCTCAACTCATCTGTCACATGTTAAAAGCAAACAATACAATATGAATGAAATTAAATTACATTATAAAATACCACACGATATAAATACCCCATATTAAATAAATAAATGTTTTTAATATTGAAACTCTCTTAATGTAACATAATAATTATTATTGTTTGTGTTCGGACGTGTCTCAACTATCAACTATGAACGTGATGACGCGCTCGAATGTTCTTTGTGCAGTCAGAGTGTGTCGAAGGGCGAGCGATTCCTTAAATAAAACGTTATCAGGATGTTGTGACGTGACATGATGAGTGGCCGCACTGAAATAATACACAACATAAAGATATCACACTCAACAATAGATACATCTATAGAATGAAACTCAACGAGAAGTAGCTAGAGAAAGGTTGAGAACTAAAATAAACTTCAACGAACATTCGATATATGACTGTACTTTGTAACTCAGGTCTTAAAGAATCATGCATTACAATAAGTGTTTGCAGCGAGACTTGTAACACTACAAGGAACTGTTACGACACATGACGCGTCACAAAACATACATTAAGGGGAGGTATTGATTGTGGACTCTCAAAAACACGGATTGAAAGGGACCCGCGAGTGGAGGAGAGAGTGTGTGAGCGTGAAGTGTTGGAAAGTAAAAGGTACATCAAACGGAACAAAAGGTCTGAGCTGAGAGAAACACTAGGACCAGCCTCCCGTACTACAAGCCTCTACACCACCATTAGTTGAAAACTAAAATGTTACCCCTAGATACAAACTTTACTGTATCACAGGGTAATATTTAATACATCTTACTTTTTAGACATTATCCTCGGGGCGCGGGCGCGGTGTACTGCATGTCCGTTGTAACAGATGTAGCACATTCAGTGTAACACACCTGGAGCCGTCGGGTCGTACGAGGCGGTCGAAATGTTTCAAGTGTTTGTAACATTGTTATATACGGTTCCCGCTCCCCCCAACCTTTAACGTTAAAACAATCTCTATTATAAGTGTATATGTGAAGTGTGTCACCGGTTACCACTCTATTAACCGTCAGCCGACTTTCTCCGCCAGCTGTCGCTGAGTCGAGTCGCAACGAACTTGAGCCGTTCACCTTAATTATTATGCAACATGGAATAACTCCTCGATCACTCCTGACTCATCGGCGGACCGCTCCTCAAACACTTTTGATTCTCTTACTGATTCAAAATAAACATAACTGTAATTAAAAAACGACGAGTACTCCTTGTGTTAGATTTATAAAAACATGTCAAGAATGCTCCTCGAGACGCGCGCTATTGTTTGAAGACGTTTGAGTCACGACACAAAGCTTACTCGACACACTGACGGCTGTTACAATCAAACATCAAAGATATAAAAAAAACACTTTGAAATATTTTTACCAATTCTATGATAATAATGTTATTTATGATCACAAATAAATATTAATACTTATTTTTATTATTATGTAATCTTACTTTGTCAGTCGGTCATGTACTGTTACTACCGACATGAATTAATACCATAAAATCTCCAATATTGATATATGTATTACTATATGATCGAGGACACGAACTAACCGGACGTTTTTGGATTGAAACTTTAAGACTGACGGTGTGATTGAGGTCAACGATTCAACTATGTACATAGTGAAGGTACGAAACGTGAAGAGTTTGAGGAGGCTGCCAACTATTTATATTCTCTTTAATATGAACAGCACATTCAATAGTTAGTACATGCAATATAATTAAGTTACTACAATAATTAACGTTATAATATTCATTATGAAAACTTGAACCTCCTGCCTGACTGACTGACTGACACACACTCACACAGACACACATGTGTACATACACACACCGACCCACACACGGCACGCGCGAAACGGCCTCATGATTTACGATCGACATTCAGCACGGTAGACCGGCCACCGCGATATAAATTGATACACAAATAACTGTTCCATCTCGTTTCATGCAATCGTATATCCTTTTATGTAACGGACCTGCGTGGCAGACTGTACATTACGATCCGAATCCGGCCGTGGAGCGTTGCGCAAGCGCCGTCCAATATTATGATACATACACACACACACACACACACACACACGTACAACGCACATAAAGACTACCATATACGGGAGTGTAAATTGGCGCTATAAAATTATAATAATAATAATAATTTAATATTGAGGTGTGTCCTGTGTTTTATTAAAAAGGTCAGTCATTGTAATCCTTCATTACAGTATATCTCCTATTCGTTTAGTATTCACAGGAACGTTATTATTCCTCTCATCTAATGATAAACAGCTGTCAAACAATTCCTGGTCTGTGAGTTCGCATTGCGTACTGCAGATATCGGATGACAACGACGCTCACAGCGCGTCAGGAAATGAAAACTGTCCATAGCATTACTCTCCTTATCGTGTAAACTCAGACACCAGAATACTGTGCGCGCTTTGTGAGAGGCGGCTGGGGTCCCAGGGAGAGGGGGCGGGGGGCGGGGGGTCCGGGCTCGCTGCCAGCCGAGTCTCCCGCCGGCGGAGAGCCTGCTACACCTGGACTTTATACGTCGCGTTTTGTTTCTTTTTGCTAGATTTATTCGTTACACAATTTCTTATGTCGAATATTTATTTTTCATCGAATGTTTGTGAAGAGTCGGGTCTGGTGTATGTTCCGAGCGCGCCGCCACTTCCCGCCAAGCTTGTTTTATATTTTATTTACATAGTGTTGAAGTGTACTTCACAGGTTTTTTTGAACGTTAAATAAACCGGTTAGCAAAAGATCGATCTCATTGTTATCCTTTCACAGCAGATCGTTAGTGTCACAGAGCGTGCAGGAACACTCGCCCCCACAGACCTTATGTTACCTTACGGTGACTTAACATTCATAGACACATCTTTAACATAAGCTTTCTCGTTAATTTTCTTATAGAACCAAGTTTTTCTTTCTTTAATTTCGAGAAATCATTCAAATGGTTTCATTTCAATGAATTTTATCAACATGAGGCATCGTTTAATTAAGCGCTCGACCAACTTATTTTAAAGCCTTATAAATAAAAATGTAATTCAGTTATAACATTTTTATTAACATGAAAATGAAATCTTTTAAAAAATGTTGAAGTTTAGAAGATAAGATGATAGTATACACTCGACATTAGACACTGTACACTATACACCAGACACTCGCCAGTCTACCCCGGTCCCCGGTCCCCGGGCCGCCGGGCCGCCGGTCCGCGTAACGCAGTTAGTGAGTGCATTAAGGGTCATGAGGAACGAGGCGAGATACGCTAACTTCGTTAAGGAGCAAAGAGGACACTAGAAATCATCTGTAACTACATTCAACGCTCCCACTTAACATCTCTCAATAGACTCTCACCTAGGGTTTAGGACGGACAGAGACGAGAGATATACATATGTATCTGGTACAGGGATGTAGATTGTTATAAGTACGAGAGAACACCTGACATGTATTAATATATTAATATCAATAAACATTATTTGTTTATGTTAACTGAACAAACTGGATGTATTAAATCAATCTGTCAGACTAGTGTGTGTCCCGTGACCCTCCTCGCCCTGCTCGGACCTCTCTCACATCAATCCCCTGTTTACTATATGTTTACAACACACTAACAGCTCCCCGAGTCCACTCTGAATGACACCTCGTACTATTGACTACTCACGATTCAATTCATTCTATTTTATGTAAACAGTACATTAAGTCTCCGGAGACGTTCCCACTTGACGATATATGTACATATAATACTTACACAAGATGTAGAAACATGTTCTGCTCGTGTCGAACGAATTTCATATTTATTTATTTTATGAAAGAGGTTAAAATTCCGTCGCGTCGACCGCACTCGTTTTTTTTCTGCGCCGTTTACCATAAAACATATTTATACTCGTAAGATCCAGTCCTCGGTGAAAATTAAAAGTCATTCGTCACGAAAATATATACGTATGCAGGTTTTAATGAGATCCGCTCATTACTTTAACGAGTTAGCAAAGTGTGCTGGATCATTATCTACAATATTGAGAGAATATTATAATATTTATATAATATAATAAAGAATACACTATAGACATCACCGGGCCACGACGCGGTCAACGAGTATTCCTCTTTAAGAGTCAGGTCGCAGCATCTCTCACAGCTCAGTAGTAAGTATATTAGACTCAGTTCGTCTGTCCGTTTGTTTTCGGTGACCCTCGCAACTCTCTATAACTCCAAGGTCATTGACTCCATCAACCCTGATCTCCATACCAGACGTTTTTCGCGTTCCGTCTACATCCCTCGTTTATTAGCTTTTCACTTGGAAGTTATGTCTTCGACTAATTACTTTAATATTTTTTTCTGTTATATGAACTAAACTTTTATTTGTAGGTATTTCTCTCCTTTCGTTCAAGTCCGAATTCATCGTATATATAAGACGTAGTGTAAGTATCTCCACGTGTATTTTACTCTTCATCATTCTAAAAGCCTGTCCTCCTCATAAACACACATACTCACATACAGACAGACGACATGACACAAGTGTATGTATGATAAGTGTGAATTTCATGTACAACTAAACAAACAAACGCGGACCGTGATGACTGCTGTATAAAATAAGGAATGTTAAATAAAATATAATCCAGACGAGGAAGGAGCTGGTCTCTGGTGTGATGTAAAGCGTCAATTAGTTGTGACATATTGGTGGTAGTTAGTTGGCAGGTGGCAGGTGGCAGGTCTATAAGTGGTGCAGGTGTCATCGCCTCGGAATAGAACTCGTTACCCATATCTTGTATCTCCGTCTTCACACGAGCCTCTGGAACACTGATACACTTGAGTTACTTGTACACTATGATGACGATTATCTAACTACTTTTTAATATTAAAACACATTTTTATTTGATCTGATTTACAAGTCTTTTGGTGCTTTCTGCCTCAACTCTACAGATCATCACCTATTAGTTTTTCTTTCTAATCTTATTTCTTTAAGTATTGGTTCGATTCTACGTAGTATTATCCCATATTGGTCCCAGTCTGTCCGTCTGTGTGTGCTGGTATAGTCAGGTGAGTGGTGACACGTCAGTTCACGTAACAGTCGACCCGAGACGCCGCACACTATTCCTGGACTCGGTTCATTATATATGTATATATTTATAAACGATCTGCTACTGTACTCCACTCATTTTTAAACATGAATCTTCACACTGCTGACATATTATTTCATCCAGGTCGTGTAGTTAAAATAATTCTGGACTTCCTAACATGTATAATAAATATGTATGTATAATATATTTTATGTTCATGTAAGTACATAATATCACAAGTAAACTGTTTTTTATTTATGCTGAGTTATATTTAATTGTCCTTTTGGTTCTCGTAATCTTAGTAAGCGTTTGTTTTCGTCGCTATTAATTTTTCCGGATCACGTAGTGCGGGCTCGTGTTACCGTCTTCTGTGAAGCGGCGAGTCGAATGTGTCCACAATCAGTTACACTACTCGGAATGATACTTTATTAGAACAATATTATAATAATAACAATATGAATGTGATCCATACTGTTTGATAACTGTTCAACAGGTGTTCTACTAGAGGTGAAGTTGAAATGTTCTTAAATTTAACAGAACATTTATATGTAACATTATAGTTCATTGTCTCAGATTACTCAACATAAAACATTATTTTTTAATCAGCAATCTTATTCCGAAAACTCAATATACGTGTTAAACATCGTGTACAGAAAAATAATATGCAAAAACTTACTAACATGTAATTCTATACAACTATCATTAATCATGAATTTTATTATTGATTATTAAATAAATTTGCAATAGATACATCGGAAGTGACAGTTGATATGTGAGGGACATATTATAGTTACATATTAAAGTTACGGTTAATAAATAACTGTTATTATAATAACAGTAAGGTTATTGTTTAAACCGAGTCGACAAGTCTCCGTGATCGTACTGCCGGCGGTGACCCGTCACAGTCATGTACGAGAATGTTAAAGGAGACAGTAACGACTGGAAATTATGTTATTACTGTAAAGTAAACGTGGTGATAGACTGACCACTACGACGGTGGTCTCATGTTGCTGTGTTCATACGTCAAAGGAAGCAACCTCGCAAAACAAACGAATGTGAACCTGACTGTTTTGAATAGTTATTATTGTTAGGAGAGTCGTTAACACATTTAAGAACCTATTTCTGTACAGAGAGACATAAGACTGTAGTTATCGATAGAATGTTTCAGTTTTGATACCAAAGTTTTACATATTGTGGCATAAATAAAACTTTATTTTATTGAAATTTAAAAAAATAAATTTATTTTAAATTATTTTTAAAAGTTTTTAAATGACTCAAAACAAATTATTTTATTATATATTCATAAACATCGACAAAATTTGTTCACAAATTCTATTTAAACTTTCTAAATATCTATTCGATAATGAACAACACTGGATATAAAATAAGGGCAACGGTTTAAAAGTCAATTAAAATTTGTTGAACGGCGAAGTTAGGAACATCTATAGGATTATGGGAAACGAGGAGACATGAAGATCATTTGCTGTTTATGTACTGCTTAAAGTATATTTATTTCAATAAAAAAATCTTATTTATTCCACAATATTTAAAGATTTCAACGAAAATAAATTACTGGCTTTAATTACAGGTTATATATACTCGTATCAAGCGAGGAACGTGTGTAAGATGCTGATAAAAGTCCCTAGTTCAATTCATACATACTCCTACATATTGTTAATACAAAACTGTGGATCTGCTGAAGTTTATTACGTAATGTGTTCTGATCATTCTGAAGTCTAATTATAATTCTACTTCATTAAAACGAGTTCATCACTTGTCGAGTCCCGAGTAACGTTAGCTTGATGACCTCCCTGTCGCCGTATCCGATGAACAACAAATTTCTTTCATTTGTAAAAATTTCACAATATTTTTGCAAAATCTTTAACATACAAGAGTCCACTAATGTGACACAAATGTAGTCACCTTATATGTATTTTTATGTATGTAGTGATGCAATCAACGTCAGATAGAAAGAGCAGTAGAGTCAGTAGACACTAAAAATAGTTGAGTTGACAGTTTTATTTAAAGAACAAAATACATTACGCTCTAGTTTTTTGTATCATTACTCTATACTCGTTCGGAACAACGACATCCACGAGTATTCTTCGAGTTTTTATATTGGACGCCGAGAGAATTACAGGTCGAGGACACAAAAACAACTGAACAGTCGTATTCTAGCAACAAAAGGATATTTATCTCACATTGTAAGTAAAGCCGACGCCGTCTTAATGAGCCCGTTCCGGGAACTCTCCGGGGACGGCCGCTCTCGGTCCCACACTCCTGGTGTCATCAGATGTCTCATTAACGGAACTGATTAATGATTCGGACTTCGTTAACCCGGTTGTTTGTCGTCACAATCACTGAAGCCGTCTCCTCGCGACACGACACGCTATTAATACATCATAAACTAATGGAAACCATATCAAATAATTATGATCCGTGACAGAGAACACTCCCGATGTATGTGTGTCAACGAGGCGAGCGCCGATAAAGGGCTCTGTTAATAGTTTAACTGTTTATGGCTCTCAGAACTAATAACCATTCACATTCTGAGAATCACACAAAGAGTGTTCGAGGACCGTGGTGAGTGCAGGGACCTCAAGTGGCACATTGTAGCCGACTGTGTTACATGCGGACTACTTCAGACGGACATACATAACATACATAAGTTATTCATCTCGTATAGTAAACTGTTTGCCGCTGAATATAAACGCTCTGAGAAAGTTCGTCATTTACGGCCGCTCGTCGCTCCGAGAACATAATTGAATATTACCAAGTAACCTATAACCAGTTCTCTCGCTGCATGCAGCATGCGGCATACCTTTCGAATTCTAGACGCAGGAATAACCTGTTGTTGAATTAGTCGCATTATATTTAATTAACTCTGAGAGCTGCTCCACACCATTTCTTCGTTATTTATCACCTGCTATGGAATAATCAGAGCATTCCTTTCCTATACTCTAAAACGAATGAAACTATATTTTTAATATAAAAAATAAATGTTTTATAGCTCATAATATAAAAGATAATTATGATTGGTAGTTTTCCATCGATTTTATTGGTACAGGTATGCAGTTTGAGGCGGAAACAACATCTAAAACTAACTACACGTCTGTTGACTTGAAGTAATGATCTCTGAGAGCCCGCTCGTGTCCTGGTCGCTCGTGTCCTGGTCGCTCGTGTCCTGGTCGCTCGTGTCCTGGTCGCTCGTGTCCTGGTCGCTCGTGTCCTGGCCGCTCGTGTCCTGGTCGCTCGTGTCCTGGCCGCTCGTGTCCTGGTCGCTCGTGTCCTGGTCGCTCGTGTCCTGGTCGCTCGTGTCCTGGTCGCTCGTGTCCTGGTCGCTCGTGTCCTGGCCGCTCGTGTCCTGGTCGCTCGTGTCCTGGTCGCTCGTGTCCTGGTCGCTCGTGTCCTGGTCGCTCGTGTCCTGGTCGCTCGTGTCCTGGTCGCTCGTGTCCTGGTCGCTCGTGTCCTGGCCGCTCGTGTCCTGGTCGCTCGTGTCCTGGTCGCTCGTGTCCTGGTCGCTCGTGTCCTGGCCGCTCGTGTCCTGGTCGCTCGTGTCCTGGTCGCTCGTGTCCTGGTCGCTCGTGTCCTGGTCGCTCGTGTCCTGGTCGCTCGTGTCCTGGTCGCTCGTGTCCTGGTCGCTCGTGTCCTGGCCGCTCGTGTCCTGGTCGCTCGTGTCCTGGTCGCTCGTGTCCTGGTCGCTCGTACTTTCACTCACGTTCGTTAATGAAAGCCCATACTTATCGAAACGGCCTCAACAGTACTTGTTAAGTCACGTAACTGTTTTATTTTTTAACAAACATACTTTCGATAATAATGTTGCTGGTATTTTGTTAACTTAAGTTCTTAATTATAGTTTTGAGATTAAATAAAATTAATCATAAATCAGTGTTTTAGTTCCATCCTGTACAATAAAAAGAACTAATTCAGAATCTTAATTGAGACTTGTATCGATTTGATATTCATAAAGTTAACAAATCTTCGAAACAAAACGAGCTCAAACCTCAGTTCTTAGAATGAATTTATATTGTAATCAATTGGAAAGCAGATGCATGAAATACAGCATCGTATAATTGAAGAAAGAACTAACTGGTGACAAAAGAAATGGTTCTTACTATGAATAGAATAGAAAGACGTCGATAATTAGTTTCGCTAGTCTGATGAGCGGTACGTACTAGCTACCTAGCTGTGGTGGCGACCCCCGCGCTCCGAGGAACATTCCACGCATAATCAATTTCACAACCGGTTCGCCCTCAAAATATCATTAACCGGCATTTCTATGAAACGCTGTTTGTACCAGGAATGTATGATCATCAGGGGCGGCGGGTTTGTTTTAATCTGGTCAGTAAATAGTTCGGATCTCCTTCACCGAGCGTCGGACCATGTACCAGCGCACAACTGACCTTATGTATAAAGAAAAGAAAGACAAATGATTGTCAATTAATATATACCGCAGACAAAGGACTGTGACCGAGAGGGGAGAGTGTTCTGTGATGTTGTATACTCAACGGTGAGCATTATAGTGGGATGATGATGATGATGAGCTCGTAATGTATAGTACATTTTATTGTTGAACCTCTTTTATAAATAGTTTTAATAAAAAAATAAATTTCTCTCTCCATTAGTGAAAGGTCCATTAACAAAGTTGAATCAGTGGATATTAACGAAGTAATAAAAATAATCACTTGTATTATTCTTTGAATTGGTTTATAATGTGTTTATGGTCCAAATCCAGGGTCCAAATGACCCGAGTGTCTTATCTAGGTATCTACTACATCCGAGCCTTGGTCCGCGCTCCTCGTCGCTCGATCGTTCTATAACCGATGTATTAATTATATGTGTATATTAGTGTAGCGTGTGTTTTGTTTCTAATGTCACAGCTCACCGCGAGGTCCTTTGTCCGTCACATCCATACGTTCCGTGCGTCACATAACGCAGGCTCGTTAATGTTGTTTGCATATCAAACGTGTTCCGACTGTGTCCGCGACCTCTCGCCGATAGTTCCCTCGACCCTCCCGCCCTTGTCATACATGGATTTATGAGACTATTGTTGTATCCAGCATCGCACTGATAACGAGCCGGCCACAACACATGAATCACTCACTCACTCAAGTTAACTCACACTAACAAACATTTAAAATTCGCTAAAAACTCATTAGATAAAAGATGTTAATGTATCGTTACATTTTATGAACATAACAATCTTCTAAAATGGTAAAATATGTTGTAACATTGTTTCTATATACGTAAAGTATTTGTTTCCTTGTACGTTACGTTCCTCTATTATAATATAAGATCAGTACAATCTTAATACGAGTCACATTTATCTGAATGTCATTATCCAGGAGTCAACATTGACGCGGTGTATTTCCTGGTTTCCATTTCGAGTTGCTCGGAGAGGTTAAGGGCTTGCGTGCCCGCGAGGCCAGTTCCGCATAGCGAGCCTATATAAGGCCCAGGTCCCTCCCACACTCCTCACCTCACACCGACACATGGAGACGGTTCCTGGGTGTTGACTGTCCATGATCCTCTTATTACACTTGATCGATCTTCAATGATCTAAAAGGATCGATATTTTTTGTTTCTCCAGACTACAACGGTACCCGCTACTCAGTACTGCTTCATGTAACAGCCGTTTTTTCATCTCCTTAACGCTAGTGCATACTTTTTGCTACAAAAGTATAAGAATATAAAATCAATAAATTTAACGGTTTTCTTTAACGTCTGTAGCGTTACTTACAACCACGCTTCAGAAAATAATAATATAAGATAATAATAGATTACAATACATAAAAATCCGTCTGGATCTTACTATATTTGAACATGAATTTGGAATCAAAATATTAGCTACGTTGTTTATTATAAAAATATTTTTCCTATAAATTTAATATCTAAAATATAATTATTATTTCCTCGAAACGGAAATGTTGTGGATGCAAATGTGAAATGGCGGAAAAAGCGTTCGCTACTTATAGTCGGCGGGGAATAGTTTATAAACAAGGAGAACTATGTTGCGGAACTTGTGGTTTGTAACAATCACAGTATAGATGCGGCTGAGTGGGGAGCCCGGGCCGACGACCCCCGCCTTAAATAAACCTTCACAGTTCACAGACAACACCTGACACGGTTTGTGATTTACACCTCGCAGACAGCAGCTCATCCCCGGCGACTGTGGAGCGTGGACCCCGGCTGAGGGCTAGGTGATGTATTAGAAAACAAATATCATACCAAAACAGATTATTAACTATATATATAATTATTACAAAAACATCTCTCATTAACAGACAGTCCTTTAAATGGGAACTACAGTATATAGAGACGTCGTCGGCTGTGACTTATATCAATAAATAGATTGTGATATAGTGAGAGCATGTGGAGCATGTTGTTAACGACACACAGACAAAGTGATCTTTAAGTGTCCGTCAAGAGTGAACGAGGCACATGGCTGACACGAGACCCGTGCACACGCAGACACACTGAACAATATCATTATTATAATATATATACAAACATATAACACTAGACACGACGCACTAATGCGTTCACCTCGTTACATTTATTTGTTTACACCGTTATCGTGCAACGTTACCACCAAATAAATAAATACTTCCGAACTACATCTCAAACGGCAGATCGTTATATTAATTATTATTTAATATTGTTTAACAGTTTTTACCGTGGGCCGTGTGACGCGCACAGGAGCGTGTGTTGTGTAAAGTATGTATTTATATGTGTGTGTGTGTATGTGTATGTGTGTCATTGCGTAAATATCATGATCAGCAACATATTAATTTGAGTGTACGTCATCACTTTCGCGAGCCAGTCAGCGTTCCGTCGATCGTTGAACCTTGTACGCGTATATTCAGTAACATGTCCTACTCGTAGTTGACAACATTTATATCGTCACACATGACCAATCTCACATCATTCACACAATTTAAATTATTTCAACTATTTTTAGATCATCTTTACATTTTTATTATTATATTTTGTATGTATGATGTCTGGTATAACTTCAGTCAATATAAACTATTCTGATGCTAATGCCGAAGTGGGGTGTTTCAAAAAGGGTTGTTTAATTAATTCCATCCCTAAGTAATGAACGTACCCCTTTAAAATTGTATTGTATCTGGATTGCAAAGTTGAATAATAAATTAACTGCTGCCGGTGTCACAATTCCGAAGCCTCTACCACGACAATAAGAAGCCTCATGAAACTTGGCCCGTCACTATTTACATATAATTTTGTTTGTAAATAAAGGTCAATAACTCCTTTGAACTTCATAATACTTCGGACACCGTCCCTTACTTTGACGTCACATTCAAAACTACTTGACTACGAGGATATTTTTCCTTTCAATACATATGTACTTTAAGTAATAAATATTTTATTGAACGTTGAATATTAAGAGATATCTCTTTCACTGTGTATATTAAACATAGTATAATTTTCTTACGATATTTTATATATCTAAATAACAAGGGGACTTCATGTAAGGACACCAATTGTTACTCTGATAGATGAATCCACCTCTTCCCCTGGACACCAACGATCACATGTGTCTATGGAGTCATGTAACTTGGAACTGTGAGAAACTCTTCAGAACACATAACGTATAAGTGTTCATAACAAGCACACACTCTCTTACCAACTTATTAATTTTATATCACGGGCACAGGAAAGTATAGAAATCTATTCTGAATATAATTTGATCGACTCGTAGCTGTGGAAAAAGTATATCTCTACTGAAATTAAAATATTAATAAGTAATAAGTATACGACAAGCAGCATCATAGGGTAAAACAGCGCCGACGAATCGCAATTTGAAGACGGATATATGAGATCAGGAAAAACTAAATAGATCAAGTGAATAAAGTTTATAACATACGTTATATGGTAATCAATGAACTGCTTAACGACTTTAATGATTTTGTTTAATGACAGGATGTACAGGTAATAGTCATCGTTATAATGCTTCCTCAAATGGATATTATTTTTTAGTAAACATTTAATAACCAATGTATAATAACATTCTGTATGAATCGTTGTTGTTGTTCCTCATTAAGTATTGTATCAGTCTCAACTCTATTGAACGTGCAACTCTTACATTTTATTCTACAACACATCAAATCTTTATCTCATATGTTTTAAACGTGCTTATGATGATTAAAAGTCTGATAACTTTTACTCGTGTTTAAGAACTATTTTTTGATTAGTTATTACTTAATCTTTCTTTGTTTATTTTCAATAATAATAGCATTTTATTGTAAATGCTGATCAGTCGTCTGGTTCACTTAGGGGTTTACTTTCTTCTACTTTAAGTTAATTTCTGTTTCCATTAGTAGAATTTCACACAAATGACCCTCTAATGCATTATAGAGCTCGTCTGGTTGAATTCTTTAAATCGTTTTGTGCACGTTTGTAATAGTAATGTAGGTCAGTATTGTATCTGTACTCTCTACCAAACACACTGGAGCAGGTTTCCTTCCGTACTAAATGTACCAACTTCAACAGAGCCAGCTTACACGACACGCTTACTAGCCATACCATACTGTGCATTATATCAAGAGAATGATCTAAAATGTATTAAAGTTAGTTAAAACGGTTGATTTTTGTTTATATTAATCTTTTTAAAATATTCAACTCAAAGTGGTAATTAATATGTTTGGTGGATAGAATGTGTGGAGGTTTATCGCTCTTTTAACGTTACTCAATAATAATAACTTTTCAATATGTTACAAGAAAGTATTTATGTTTAAAATTTAAACTGCTTCTAAAGTATCACTAAACTAACTGCTGAACGGGATAAAATATCTAAAAAATCATAAAGAACAAAAAAAAATTACTTAACAAATAAAACTGTTGTAGTTTTTTTAAATTTATTTCAGTCTTACAATATGTTTTCTAGCCTTAAACAACAATCGAAACATCAGAACGAGAGGAGGTTGTATGATAGACAGGATCTACAAACTCAAACCTTCATATTGACTTGTACATACGTTTAGTATTATAAAATACATAACAACATTGAATCAGATCACAGACACTCGATGGACACTTACTTCAGAGTTTATTTAAATCAGGAGAATGAAAAAGGTCATGATGCTAAAACCACTGACAAGTTAGGTTAAAAAAAGTGTTCTAATGGCTAACACTTTAATGAAATAATCCATTGATACATTAGTCAATAACAAATCGCGTCGCAGAAGAATTCGTTCACACTCGACGTACTGAGTATGAACTGACGTATATAACATGACACTTGTAGTAAGTATCATTAGAGGTAACAACTTTATACAGTATCATCATTACATTATCATTTATATATATTCGTTAGTAAACTCTCTAAACGTGCTTTGAATCACATTGAGGAAGAGATACGGGTTATTTTAATGTTAGCCTCAATGTGTTGAATGTAGTAAATATATTGTTCTTTAATATTACGAAACGGGGGTGTCTTATTAAGAATATAAAACAAAAATATTGGTTTTAAAAAGTTTTATAATCATAACTTGAATATTATATTTAGGTATATAAGGCTCTAAGAATATGACACTACATATTATAATATCTATAAAACTGAAGAAAGAGAGACAGAGAAAAAACAGAGGAGGGTTTATAAACTTATAAATCAATTAATGAGTACAAGATTTTTTATTTTTTTAGTTTACATTTAAATTACTATTAATTAATCATAGTCACAGACTTTTAAAACATATATTATACTTTTGTTTGTTTAATGTCTTTGTATGACCACTTCGTAATACTTACATACATGTAGTTCAACGTTGGTGCACTCGAAAAGTATCGAAAAAGTTCTTTATTTCCTCAATATAACGCTATTTGAGGAAAAACATACCTATGAAAATAAATTTTGAACAAATAATACAAAAACAATCTTTTTATATACATATTTATTTATTTGGTAATCCAACAGTTTTTATACATAAGTTTCTATATTAACTATTATATAACATAAAATTAAAACCAAAATAGGATTACACAGGTAACTTAAACATATTAATAAC